CTTACTTAGCTGACTTTTGGCAGAACAGTTGTTCCAAAGGCCGATCTAAAAAAACGATATCCAGGGGCGTCGGACAATTTTCGGAGATGTTGTCGTCTACTTTGTCTTTCCATTTATTTCGTGACCTTCCCCTTCTGCGTTAACCATAAGTAGGCTCAATTTTATATGCCTTTTGAGCTGGGACATTCTCATTCATTCGCACAACATGGCCTAGCCACTGTATTCTCTGCAGCTCGATACGCCTGACTATGTCGATGTCCGCGTATAGATAGTAAAGCTAGTCGTTCGTTCGACGCCGATATTCACCGTCGACGCAGATCGGCCCGTAGATCTTTCGGAGAATTTTTCTCTCTAACACCCCAACCGGGTAGTATCAGCGTCTTGTAGAGCGTGAGTTTGGTCTGGCGGGAAGTGGCCTAAATTGTTTACTTAGACCATAGTAGCATCTGTTGGCCAACACTATTATCCGAAACTTCAAAACTGATGTCATTCGTTTTATTTATGGTGGTACCAAGTCATATAAAGTCTTTAACTACCTCGAAGTTGTAGTCCTCAAGTTCCACAGTTGGTCCGAGTCAACTGGACGTCTTCCGCGTCGATACCATTAGATTGGTCTTCTCGACATTTACTGCCAGTTCAAAGGTAGCTGTTACCGCTCGCAATGTTCGACCCATTATATCAATGTCATTGGCGTAGGCGAGTAACATGTGTTGTTTGGCGTACAGATTGCATTTTCTGTTCACATTTCCATCACGTATGACGTTTTCCAGCAGGATGTTGAACAGCTCACACGACAAACTGTCACCTTTTCTGAATCCTCGTTCGGTATTGAGGTCCTTCCGACTTTAACTGCTGACCTTGTGTCAGTTTAAGTTATCCTGCATAGCCGTATTAATTTTCAGGAATGCTAAATGCAGACATGGCTTTAAACACCTCTGAACGGATAGGGTTTTCAAATGCGGCTTTATAGTCGACGAAGAGATGTCGAAAATCTGGTCAATGGTGAATTTGCCAGGCCTGAAGCCGCATTGGTATGGTCAAATAATGCCATTGACCATTGGCTTCAGTCGTTCACAAAGCTCTCTGGATAGGGTCATACAAAGTTATAATAACCTCAAAACAGTTTTTTAATTTATTTACTTTTATTCATATTGCCCCATCATTTATTTTTCATATTGCCCCATCGTATTCCCATATTTTTTCAGGGCTCGTGGTAAGGCCTATAAAAAGACCACCAATCGTCAATACACAGTGCTGATACGTGAAATTGGTAGGCATCTGTCGGGACCACCAAAAAACAAAAATGAACATTATCTATTCTGGTGTGAGCTGCGGGACAAATTAAATAATTTGGGACCACCGACACGTAATATCACCGAATGGAAAAAGGTAAAAAGATATTCAATATTTCCTTTTATATTAATTCCAATAATTCTAAAAATATATTATCTGTTTTATTTCCCAGGTCTGGAATGATTGTCAACGTAGTCGCAAACGTCGTGAACTATTACGTGAATCGTTGCGCAAACCCAAAGAAGAACCCATCGAGGTAAGAGATGAACCGATATATGATGATCGTGGAGAACCTATAAATATGTACAACGATGATGATGATTACCACAATGATGTTGATAATGAGGGGGAGGAGGCGGAGGACAATGAAATCCACAAAAATCACAGCTATCACAATGAATCTTCACAGCACTCTCATCACGTACAAAGTACTTATGATGATAATGTTTCATCGTTTATAATATCGGAAGCTAGTGATGGAGGTGGGTTTCAAGAGCCCATAATGCCTAGGACATTGCCACCACTATATCGTTGTCCTTCAAATGTTTCCATAACACCACAACCACCGCCAACATTTTCAAATGCCACCACATCCAGTGGATTTAATCATTTCGTTGTAACCACCACAAATACCTCTAAGCCGAATAATGCAAATTCCTCTACCACCTCTTCATTGCATAAGGATATCTTACATGTACTTAAAAATCAAATGATCCATCAAACAAAATTACTTGAACATATGTCGAGGGTATCGAATAACATGTCACAATTAATGGAACGTCAAGTGCAGGCGATTGAAAAACAAACCGAAGCGGTACGACGTCAGGCCATCGCAATGGAACATCATACATTGGTTATGAATTCGTTTGTCGATATGATACGCGATAAAATGCCCAAAACGAATAGTAATAATAGGAGAGCCACGAATTCCGCAAACAATGGTAAAATGTGAAGATCAAAATAAACTTTTTATGAAATCTCTATTCTATTTGGTTCATTTTTTATTTTTTTTACATTCCTAGTATTTAGTTTTAAAACTACATTCTAAAGATTTTTTGTATTCTTTTTTTATTTGAAACCTATTATCATTGAATGGTAATATTATTGAAAATAATGCTGGATTTTTTGACTTAATATTTAAAACAGGTATTTCATGTTACATACCTTCAATTTTGTTGTTGTAAGAAATCTCTAACCTACAGACTTATGAAGTTATTTTAAAAAAAGATTTATGAAACAATTTCTTAAATCCTTGTTAAATTTGTATAACCTCAAATATATAGTAAATAATTTTTTTTGCATTCCTAAAAAATAAAATGAGAATTGTGTTAATTTTTTTAATAATTTTTTTTTATTCTCTCTTTCCCAAAATCTCCACGCCTTCTATAAGCCTCCCAAAAATGTACTTTAAAAAATCCACGCCTTCTATAAGCCTCCCAAAAATTTACTTTAAAAAATCCACGCCTTCTATAAGCCTCCCAAAAATGTACTTTAAAAAATCCACGCCTTCTATAAGCCTCCCAAAAATGTACTTTAAAAAATCCACGCCTTCTATATGCCTCCCAAAAATGTACTTTAAAAAATCCACGCCTTCTATATGCCTCCCAAAAATGTACTTTAAAAAATCCACGCCTTCTATATGCCTCCCAAAAATGTACTTTAAAAAATCCACGCCTTCTATATGCCTCCCAAAAATGTACTTTAAAAAATCCACACGCCTTCTATATGCCTCCCAAAAATGTACTTTAAAAAATCCACGCCTTCTATATGCCTCCCAAAAATGTACTTTAAAAAATCCACGCCTTCTATATGCCTCCCAAAAATGTACTTTAAAAAATCCACGCCTTCTATATGCCTCCCAAAAATGTACTTTAAAAAATCCACGCCTTCTATATGCCTCCCAAAAATGTACTTTAAAATGTACTTTAAAAAATCCACGCCTTCTATATGCCTCCCAAAAATTTACTTTAAAATGTACTTTAAAAAATCCACGCCTTCTATATGCCTCCCAAAAATGTACTTTAAAAAATCCACGCCTTCTATATGCCTCCCAAAAATGTACTTTAAAAAATCCACGCCTTCTATATGCCTCCCAAAAATGTACTTTAAAAAATCCACGCCTTCTATATGCCTCCCAAAAATGTACTTTAAAAAATCCACGCCTTCTATATGCCTCCCAAAAATGTACTTTAAAAAATCCACGCCTTCTATATGCCTCCCAAAAATGTACTTTAAAAAATCCACGCCTTCTATATGCCTCCCAAAAATGTACTTTAAAAAATCCACGCCTTCTATATGCCTCCCAAAAATGTACTTTAAAAAATCCACGCCTTCTATATGCCTCCCAAAAATGTACTTTAAAAAATCCACGCCTTCTATATGCCTCCCAAAAATGTACTTTAAAAAATCCACGCCTTCTATATGCCTCCCAAAAATGTACTTTAAAAAATCCACGCCTTCTATATGCCTCCCAAAAATGTACTTTAAAAAATCCACGCCTTCTATAAGCCTCCCAAAAATGTACTTTAAAAAATCCACGCCTTCTATATGCCTCCCAAAAATGTACTTTAAAAAATCCACGCCTTCTATATGCCTCCCAAAAATGTACTTTAAAAAATCCACGCCTTCTATATGCCTCCCAAAAATGTACTTTAAAAAATCCACGCCTTCTATATGCCTCCCAAAAATGTACTTTAAAAAATCCACGCCTTCTATATGCCTCCCAAAAATTTACTTTAAAAAAATCCACGCCTTCTATATGCCTCCCAAAAATGTACTTTAAAAAATCCACGCCTTCTATATGCCTCCCAAAAATGTACTTTAAAAAATCCACGCCTTCTATATGCCTCCCAAAAATGTACTTTAAAAAATCCACACCTTCTATAAGGCTCTTAATAATGTACTTTAAAAAATCCACGCCTTCTATAAGCCTCTTAAAAATGTAGTTTAAAAAATCCAAGCCTTCTATAAGCCTCCCAAAAATTTACTTTAAAAAATCCAAGCCTTATATGGCCCTCCATGAAACCACGCCTTCTATAAGTACTTTAAAATCCACCCTTCCTCCTTCATCCAACAAATTGAACCTTTATCAAAAATGTACTTGCCAATATCCAACCCTGTCTCCTCCACAAAGCACACATTTCAGTTGGTATACCCCCTTTTGCTCCACTACCATAGATAAAAATCTGCATGCGAAAAAAACTCCAACCTCGGACCTGCGCACTGGGTCCACATTTCTAATTCTTTCTCTTCATAATAGAATTTTGTGTTATTTGGTTGTTTTTCATTTAAAATTTTGCTGAAAAAAATAAAGGAAAAACATTTCCAAAAATAAATAGTTGACCACACGTGTGGACCACAAAGTCGGGGCCAAAGGAGTTTCAAGAAAATTGAAATAACGGAATTAATTTTGGTCAGCTTTATGAAGTGAAAATTGTTTCGCGCCCGTCACCAATCAACCAGCCAACAAAAAATCTACAAGGCTTTGAAGCCTTTGTTCACTGCAGCAGTAGTCAGTCAGTCAGCAAGTCAGTTAATAGACCAAAAAAAAAAAAAAAAATAGAAACAAAAGTTGGTGAAAGTAAAACTTTCCCAAAAATATTAAAATTTTTGCTGTTACTGACTCCTGCCTCCGGACGGAACAGCCTGACATTGTGTCCACACAAAAATTAACTCCTTGAGGAACCAACCAGGAAGTAGCCATCCAGTAAAGAAGCTAAAATGTCGGGCGAAGAAACATCTGCTGACCGTAATGTGGAAATTTGGAAAATCAAAAAATTAATAAAAAGTCTGGAAATGGCCAGAGGGTAAGAAAATTTATATTTTTTTCTAACAAAAAATAAATATCACAATGTGCCAAATTTCTTCGGAAGAGGTGAAAAATGATAGAAAGAAAGCAAAAAAATGTCCATTGAAAATGTGGCCAATATGTTGGTTGGTATGTCTGTATGTATGTGTGTGTCTCGAAATTCTTTTATATGGGAGCCACCTCGCCTGCATTACATGTACATGCTGCTTTTACAGAAGACTCACACACACACACATACAACCTTATGCGCCCATTTTCCAATATGCTGCTGCTGCTTCGGTGATTTCATTTGGTATACAAGCCGTCCGTCCCATGCGTTTCAATTTTTTTCTTTTTGGTTCCACGTTTACAACTTGCCAATGTGGCGACAACAGTCATTACTTCGGCTTCAGTATTTTTTGAGGGAAAAGGAAAATTGACAATTAGTTATTCCCCCGCAAAAAATGCGAAGAAAAAACTTTGTTTATATCCCCCTTGTTAATACACCCCTCCGCCCGCCTTTGCAGGATATTAATATATGACTAAGTGCATTTGTTTATAACCTCAATGGTTAGGTTTTTGTGAACTGTGGCGAACAAAAATGTGACTGACTGACTGCCTTTTCTAAATACCATAAGTCAAAGGTGAATGAAATGTGGACCGTTCCCACCCACCCAATTTTGGAATTCTTATTGGATTTTTATAAAAACTTCGCGCAGAAAAATCGAACAAAATTTGAGAATAAAATTGAATGGACTCAACTCTAGCATTTGTGTCGTTACTCCTCGAGCACTTTGGAGTGAAATTAAATATGGACTTGATTATGGCATTTGTGCCCTTACATATCCAACGAGAATGATTAATATTTTAATTCTCAGAGGGGAAGATAGTTTCCTGTGTTACATTTACATATTTTAGAACAAAATTGAATATGGACTCAACTTTAGCATTTGTGTCGCTACCTCTCCAGCAGAAATACCACAGCACTTTGGAGTGAAATTAAACATGGATTCTGGCATTTGTGCCCTTACATCTCCAGCGAGAATGATGAACATGTTAATTCTCAAATGGATTAAAAACGTCACGCAGAAATGGGGAAGAAGTTTCCTGGGTTACGTATTTTAGAATAAAATGGAATATGTACTCAACTCCGGAATTTGCGTCGTTACGTTTCCAGCGGAAGTTATGGACATGCTACTTAAGTTACCCATTCATAAAAGAGCTTAGAATAATTACTTCGTGGTAGGCCCTCTGCGGCTAGTTATTTTCAACCTTAGTTTTTTATATCTGTCCAGATGATATAGGATATCACTCCATGGAGTAATATCACTGTTATTTTTGATTTAAAGTGCATTTACAACCTAATTTTTTTTCTTACCCGGCTTGTGACAGAATATTTGTTCCAAAAGCCTAGCTTTAACAAGATTTCCAGAAGCGCCGGTCTTGCTCGCAGCTTCCAAGTTGAAAGGCTGTGTTTCGAAATGTTCTCGTCCACTTAATATTTCCATCTAATTCGTGGCGTTCCTCTTTGCGTGAACCATCAGCTGATTCTCTTTTATATGCCTTTTGAGCTGGGACACATCCTCATCCATTCTCTCAACATGACCTAGCCAATGTAGTCGCTGCAGTTCAATTCGTCTGACAATGCCGACGTCCGAGACTAGATAGAGTTCTACCATGGTTCATTCGATGGCGATATTCACCGTCAACGCAGTTCGGCCCATAGATCTTTCGGCGAATTTTTCTCTCAAACACTCCAAGAGCTGCCTCATGTGCTTGCGTAAGCATCCATGCTACAGATCCATATAATAGCACGGGTAGTATCAGCGTCTTGTAGAGTGTGAGTTTGGTCTGGCGGGAGTTGGTCTTGTTTCTAAACTGCTTACTTAGACCATAGTACCATATGTTGGTCAACACTATCCTTCTCCGAATTTCGCCACTATTTGATACCAGAAGTTTTGCAAAATGTTCCTTCCAGATCCTCAACACGCTGTCTGTATCTGTCACCAGGATTCCTTCTTCATCTCTACAGGAGGATGTGCTTGCACCGAAGCCTTCGGTTCCGGACTTCGTTCTGACTTCTCTACATCTCGATTTGCTCCTGCTCACGTTTTTTTGTTCTTTTTTCTGAAAACACATTTCTACTCCTCTCTCCTTTTCTCCATTACGACAATCCTGATCGTACCATGGCTTTCTTGATGGGGGTCTTTGGTACCCAAGTGTTGCTTTTGCTGCAGTGTGTAGGGAGTGGGCAATTCTTTGGCATTGTGCTTCTATATTATTATCGGGACAAGGAAAGCTTCCGTCAAAAAGGTGGATGAACGCCTTCCGTCTATCACAACATGATCAATTTGATTTCTCGTTGCTTGATCGGGAGAAATCCATGTGGCCTCGTGTATATCGAGATGCTTGAATCTTGTGCTGCTAACTACCATGTTTTTGCTGCCGCGAAGTCAATCAACCTCATGCAGTTGTAGGATGCTTCTTCATGAAGGCTGAATTTTCCGACGGTGGGAGTCAAAGATATTTTCCCTTCCGATTTTTGCATTAAAATCTCCTAGCAGAATTTTATGTCTTTGGTCTGCTCATCTTTGTCTTCGGTCGGAGCATAAGCGCAAATGAGACTGATGTAGAAGAACTTCGTTTTTATACGGATTACAGCAATTCGCTCATCTACTGGAGTGAATCTGGAGACGAGGTCTTTTATTCTCCTGTTATCCATAAATCCGCAGCCAAATTCATGTCACGTTTCATGACAGCTATAATACAGTGCTGATTTACTTACGCCTGTCTCTTTCCATCGCATTTCCTGTAAGGCAATAATATCGGCTTTGTACTTCTTGAGTACATCCGCCAAAACGAAAACTGTGCCTTTTCCAAGTGCAGATTCACAGATCGTGGTCCTTTATACGTTTGCCAGTGTCCACAATTGAGACGAAAGAGGGACCAAGATAAGCCTGAGCTCCGCCACGTTAAAGCCAATCAGAGCCGTTGCTTGGTATCTATCATCCCCTACGCCATCCCCTATCGAAAACTTCTGTGGAATATTGTAATGGACGTTTCCGTGGTTATTGCTCGTCAGCGACATTTCGGGCTCTCAAACTCCAACTGGGGAGTTGTGACCACTTCTGCATTATTTCGATGTGGTTCCCAGTGTTGATATTTGTTGCCATCCTTCGTGATTATAGCTTGGAACCAAAACTGCAGTTTTTATTAATTTTTTATCTGTCCAGATCATGTTTATTGCATTGGGGATCATATCGGCTATTACCATCCACCCGGTATGAGCTTTGCGGTCCACCTTCTCCAGCTTTCGTTTTTCCATTGTGCCCGCAATTTTATCATTGTTTTTGTTCAAAGAGTCTGATCATAGGTTCTAGGAATAATCCACGTTTAAGTAAAGTCTTTCTTTGTTCCACCATGAGATCTATGGGGATCATACCCTCCATTATCAGAATTGCCCGCTCTGATACTGTTATGTTTCTCGCTTTCTTCGTAGTATGTTTGTACTGGCTCTAGGTTGTTGACCGATTTGTCCGGTCCAGTTAGTTTCACAACTCCAATAGTACTTATTTTACTTCGTTTACTGTTTAAATGCTGATTTAATTTTCAAACATGTCTAATTTGGTACTACTTAAACTAAGTTTGCTTAGCCTAATATTAAACACACAATACTTATCGATAAACTCTTTGTTCTAATAATAGAATTTGATCTGTGGAGAGTTTTCCCATCATTTTCGCTTTAAAATTTTAATAATAGTCTTATCAGCGTTGCATGCTGAATTATCTTAAAACACTCCAACGATTTAGGATAGGTTAAGGGATGTACATCTGCTGATTGCAACCGTTCACTCAGAGACATTTGCCCATTGTATTCATCCTTGTACCTGAAAAGAAAGGAGAAGAGAGAATGGAAGAGAGGAAAGATAGTGGAAGTTTGGAGAGTAAGATAGTTATTTTAGCCATGTCAAAATCTTAACAAAGCTTAGGATCTGCTTGGGGTCTATTCCGGAGAAGAATGCTAGATTATCAATTTCATATTTGCCGAACTGTCTGTGTCTTCTGCCACTCAGCGATGGACACTTACAGAGTATATGTTCAATTGTTTCCAGCTCTTTCTCATCCTCAATCTTAATCCATTCCGATGATGTCCCATTTAGAAGTGAGAGATCTAATCTTGCAGTGACCTGTTATTATCTCAACAACGATTTTAATCTCTTTTGTTATGGGACAACAGAATTCCGGCCAGATGGTTTTTGAGATTCTGAATCCTGGTTCGGATGACCATCTTCGGCCTCGCAGTAGCTCAAACGGATTTTCCCAGCAAAGTAGCCAATGGGCGGTTGTACATATCCCTCAATCAGAAGATTGGACGACTGTGATCTCCCTTGAGGAAGCACATCGGCAATCTCTTTCCCTTCTATGTTGCTAGGTCACCGGCAGTAGGTGTTTTGACTATCTCAGCCGCTTTCGTGATTGCTAGGATTTTTGCGTGGAAAACGCTACAGGGATCACTTAGTTTATATATGTTGTAGATGGCTAGTTCCTTGCAGTAAACATCTGCACCAGTACCTCCTTCCATCTTCGACCTGTCTTCAAATAACGACATCCCTACTAGGAAACTCTACTTTAATGTCATTGAAATCGTTATGAGAGGGAGTATACTGATCTAAGCACTCCTCTCTAGAAGGTCACAAACTGACGTTGGTTTTGGAATAGTAGCCTGACCAAAATTCAGCGACTTCCAGGCATCCGTTTCCCGATGAGTCAGATCACTTCTGTCAGCCTGGAATTTAACCAGAAAATCCAGTGGTTGTAGATCAAGATTGCATTGAATGCTGCTTGTGGTGTGCTTGCTTGCTTGCAGAAGTGGAGTGCCATTAGTCCTATCTTAGTGCATTCCTCAACTATTCCTTTTGATTCTAAGGAGACGTCTAAGGTTGCTCCACCCAAGGACGGCAATCGGAAATTTGCGTGTGCCCAGTTGGACAGAGTTAAAATGTTTAGATTTGAAAAAAAACCTCAGAATCAGATTTTTTGAATATTGAAATGTCGTTTGTAAGAGTTGCCACATTTGAATATTTGTTTCTTAATTCTATTCTTAGCAATGGCACCAGCATGATATCCCTGATCATACCACCCAAGGATCAAATATCACGTGTTAGCAAAATGCTAGCCGATGAATTTGGAACAGCGTCGAACATTAAGTCACGGGTAAATCGATTATCGGTTCTGGGTGCAATTACCTCGGTACAGCATAGACTTAAATTGTATACCAAAGGTGAGTGGGAAAACCTTCAAAAGTCTCAAACATTTTTTATTAAATATTCGTTTCTTTTTTGCAGTGCCTCCAAATGGATTGGTAATTTATTGTGGTACAATTGTCACCGAAGAGGGTAAAGAGAAAAAAGTCAATATCGATTTTGAACCATTCAAACCGATCAATACATCATTGTATTTGTGCGACAATAAGTTCCATACGGAAGCGCTAACCGCCCTGCTGGCGGACGATAATAAATTCGGTTTTATTGTTATGGACGGTAATGGGGCGTTGTTCGGTACCCTGCAGGGTAACACGCGAGAAGTTCTACACAAATTCACAGTGGATTTACCGAAGAAGCACGGGCGTGGTGGTCAATCGGCATTGCGATTTGCCCGTCTGCGCATGGAAAAACGTCACAATTATGTGCGCAAAGTTGCTGAAGTTGCCACCCAGTTGTTCATAACGAATGATAAGCCGAATATTGCGGGACTGATATTGGCCGGTAGTGCTGATTTTAAAACGGAACTGAGTCAATCGGATATGTTTGATCCGGTAAGTGGGGAGGGGTTAGGGATTATTTTCTAAAAAAATTGGAATTTTATTGTGATATTTTCCCTTGCAGAGATTACAATCGAAAATAATCAAATTGGTCGATGTGTCATATGGCGGTGAGAATGGTTTCAATCAGGCAATTGAACTGGCTGCGGAATCTTTGCAAAATGTTAAATTTATTCAAGAGAAAAAATTAATTGGTCGTTACTTTGATGAAATATCTCAGGTAGAGGATTTGGAGCCCCTTTACTATGGATCTAGACTTTTGTAATTTATTTTTGTTCATTTTTTCGATTTCAGGATACGGGCAAATATTGTTTTGGTGTTGAGGATACATTGCGTGCTTTAGAATTGGGCTCGGTGGAGACCTTGATTTGTTGGGAAAATTTAGATATTCAAAGATATGTCCTTAAGAATCATGCAAATTCAACGGCAACCACGGTATTGCATTTGACGCCGGAACAGGAAAAAGATAAATCGCATTTTACAGACAAAGAGGTAAGTGTGAAAAATTATTATTATGATTTTTTTAAAGAATATTTTTCAAGGGCCATATAAGGCGTGGAATTTTTAAAGAAAATTCTTTTTCGTGGTCCATATTTGGCGTGGATTTTTGAAACTGGATGGCCATTTAAGGAGTGGATTTTTTAAAGAATGTTTTTTGGAGGGCCGTATAAGGCGTGGTGTTAATGATTTTTGAATACATGGAATACACCGTTTGTCTACCATCCCCAAGAAAAGTTCATAGAACTGACGCCACTTCAAACAATCCCCATTTAATTGAGGAATTGTTACCTTCAGTAGTGGAAGTGAACTGTGTGCAATAATGTCACTTCCCAGTTGAGGTGCAATACTGCTAGTTTTATTAATTTGTCATACCGAATCTTCCAATATATCGTAGCTTTCTTGTTTCATTTAAATTTTCGATGAATCTTCAATCTGCTGCAATATTTCGTGGCAGATCTCCGTTATTTGATTTCATAGTTTTTTTTTAAGAATCTTCTCTGATGCTATAGAATTGCCTCGACTGTTTCGCTTCGATTGTGCCCAAGCCTTGCAAATGACGACTAAGGGCCTTCATTCGAGTATTTCTCATACTGGCAAGTCCATCAACACGGGAAGGCATTTTGTCTCCTGAGACAACTTCAGTCGATTTCTCTCTCAAGGTGGGAACTGGCTTACTTTGGGCAGACATCAGCTTCTTTATTTCTGCGTCTATATATTCGATTGTTGAGCTAAACTTCTCTCCAATCGTTCTATATAGATTCCGAACAATATACGGGTCATCCTCTGACAAAGATGCATCATTGCCATTATTGTTTGTTGATGTAGTAGCGAGTAGCAGCAGTTGTTGTATGATGGTTAGTTATAGACAATTTCCTCCTGTCTTCTCCTCCAGACCACTGAAAGGGGTTTTTGAAATTGGAACTTGTACGATACGTCCTCACACCTTGTGGGTAATGCCCCCAAAAACACCGCCAAATCACTTCGGGGCCACCGAAAAGGTTTATGATAACGCTACAAACTTTCTTGGAGCCAAAAATAGTTTAGAGGAATTATCTGCAAGACAAAGACTACTTTTATGGGACAAGGGCTACTTTTATCAACTTCCAGTTTCAAGGGCATACAATTCCATTTTATTCCACCAAGAGCTCCGTATTTTGGAGGCTTATGGGAAGCTGCAGTGAAGTCCTCAAAACGTCTCTTGGTCCATAGTGTGTCAACGGAAACACTTACTCATGAAAAATTAGAGACAATCATAGTAGCAATCGAAGCTATTTTAAATTCGCGTCCGCTCACACCACTTTCAAACGATCCAGATTGTCTTGCAGCATTAACCCCGGTGCATTTTCTTGTCGGAGAAGCTCTAACTTCACAGGTAGATAGCACAGCAGATACTTCCAAGACATCCAGGATATCACACTGGAAGTTAATTTCGCATATTAAGCACCAATTCTGGAAAAGGTGGTCGGAAGAATACCTACAAAAACTCCAGCATCGTAAAAATGGAGACAAAAGAAGACAACCTATTATGAAAGAAGACAACCTACCACCAATGAAGTGGCCATTAAGGAGAGTTCTTAATGTATTCCCCAGTGATGACTGAGCTGTAAGAGTTGCTGAAATAAAAACCTCAACCGGAGTACTCAAGCGGACGATCCACTGACTGGCACCACTTTTTCCTGAAAATCATGATAAAGTTTTAGTAGACAATGATCCAACGCAAGAAAGCACAATTTCCTGTGCAGCAACTTGCAAGTTACACAATTTCATGAAGGATTGGGAACAGTGAAACTGAATACGGCTGAATGGAAGATGTTAGTATATTATGATTTAACGCCCCTTGTTTCGGAAATAGAGTCATTGGCATCTGGTTTACAAACGCTGCAGCAACTGTGCCCTGTAATGCATCAGCATGAGGTGCAATATTTTTAACATCTCATTCCACATAATTGGCAATATTGCGCACTCACTTTTTGACGTTCTTGATGCGGACTATGGAGAAGGAATGTCAAGACCATCAACCAGCAAAAAGCGATCAGGAGCACATAATCAGTCTTGATGCAATTGATGCAACAATTAATGTTATAAAACAGGATGAGATTAATACTCACCTAAAATTTGGGAGATTTTTTAAAATTCTCAACTGTTTGGACTTCTATCAACGCATCTGGTTTTATCCGCAATAAACCTACCGAGAACACAGGCCAAAGTCATCAATGTACTTACAGATATTCTAAATGAAAAATAAGTCCCCTATTATTATCTCCTCATCAGTTGAAAGAATAAATTAATTTCATTAAGGCTAATCTTGCAATTTCACATGCTTTGCCAACAGCAGGGGATAATTTGATTCGACTTTATAAGCTTATGAGTGTCAAAGGGACAATGACAAAATATGAAATCATTTTGGAAGTCAATATACCCTTAGTTAACCGACAGTTTTTTTTCGAGTTGTTCAAAATAGTTGCAGTTCCAACAATACAAAATAACACCTTAATCGCCATTCAACCAGAAACGGTATACATATCAACCGATGCACATAGAGAAGAATATATTATTTTCAAAAAAACGGAAGACATCAAGCTGCCTCAAACCAAACGATGATGAATATATTTGCAGAAATCAGCAGTCAAAACTCAAGAAAAATGCATAATGAAAATAACTCACCATAAAAATGTCGGAATAATCGAAATTGGTTCCAACTGCGTGATAAAAATAAAATTTGTTACCATACATGGACATTTTGAAGCTTCGAATAGATTAAAAAAACATGTAAGATTAAAAAAACATGCATTCGACAAGTCGTCAAGAGGAAATAGAAAAGGTTTTAACATATACCAACACCACTCCTTACAAGGTTCATCAAGAATAATTAGATTTTTTTTTAGCTCCAACTGAGGCGTGGAATTAAATCTTTTTATAGCTCCAACTGAGGCGTGGATTTAAAAATTTTTTGTAGCTCCAAGATTTTTTAAAGCAAAATCTTTAATTAATATTCTCTATTCCTCTCCCTCTCCTTCCCTTTTAGACTGGTGTTGAAATGGAACTGATAGAATCCCAGCCCCTGTTGGAATGGCTGGCGAACAATTACAAAATGTTCGGGGCCACATTGGAAATAATCACGGACAAATCCCAGGAGGGTAGTCAATTTGTGCGTGGTTTTGGTGGTATTGGAGGTGAGAATTTTGCAATGGTTTTTCATGATCTGAAATTCTGATGACTCTCTCTCTACCCTCCCTTTTTCTCTCTTTTAGGAATATTACGATATAAAGTTGATTTTCAATCATTACAAGCCGATGAACCCCTGGAAGATGTTGATCTGGACGATTATTAAATCTGTTAATACCATATTTATTATGAAAAGGAATAAGAAGAAGATGAAGAAACCCCGAAGATACTGATAATGACAAAACGAAACAAATAAAAACGAAACCAGCTTGTTTGATTAACTTAATGATATCTTGCAGTCCAATATTTCATACAAAATATATATATATTCAAGAAGTTAAAACGAGAAACCAACAACAACAATCTTGGCCATATGAAAATCACCAGCCATGACGGCGGCGAAGGTGAACAGCTGATATCAGCTGTTCTATACTAATTTTATGTTTAATGTATAGCGCAAATACTGCCTCTAAATCTCGAACAAAGAGTATTAAAATGAAGACCATCATCAGAGATAAAACCAAAAGAGAAAAAAATCTACCAAACAACCACAACAACAACAAATCATAATCAGCCACAGCAGGGAAAATTGAGACAAAATACAACTCTGAAATAGCGGCAAAATACAACTCTGTTATTGTATGAACACACGGGAGATGCAAATGGGATTCGGAAAGGAACGTGAAATTCGTTCTTCGAAGGGGATAAAAATAATTTTCGTAGTTGACTTGTGGTGAGAAATGCTGAAGTCCTCCTATAGAGATCTCCGGACATCCTTTGGAATACCTTTAGCATTTAAGAGTCCTATTCTGTCATTCGTGTATTATCCAATAGCAGATTATTGGAAATTTGTATGCCACTTTGCTCCCATTGAACTGCTGTCATTTTAACATTTCTACCAAAAGAAGAACAGCTGTTTAAATTAATGAAATAAATTGGAAAATATTTGCAAGAGAATAGTTTGTTGTCATTATTAAATTTAGCAAAAAGAGAGGTGAGTATCCTAGGTATAAACACTGGACCATGTTAGGTTTGAATTTTTAAATAGGCGTACAAGGCGTGGATTTCTTAAAAATATTTTTTGGCGTCATATACAAGGCGTGGACTTTTTTTCAGAGTACTGTACAAGGCTTGGCAGTTAACAGCACCAGATTCAAGCATCTTGATATATACAAGGTCACATAGATTTCTCCTGATCAAGCAACGAGAAATCAAATTGATCATGTTGTGATAGACGGAAGGCATTCATCCAGCGTATTAGACGTTCGATTGATCCGAGGAGCGAATATTGATTCGGACCACTACCTTGTGGCAGCAAAAGTGCTATCTAACACAGCACGGAAACTCGACGTCGTAAAGCTGAAAACACAACAGGTAGCCGAGGCCTACTCCGCTCAACTCACCCACCTGCCTGACGAAAGCACTTCTTGTCCCGATAATAGTATAGAAGAACAATGCCAAAGAATTGTCCACTCCCTACATACTGCAGCAAAAGCAACACTTGGCTACCAAAAACCACTTCCAAGAAACCCATGGTACGATCAGGAGTGTCGTAATGCTACTGATGTGAAAAACGCAGCGTATAGGTCAACCATGCAGACAGTAGCAACACGTAATGCGATGGAAATGGAGAAAAGGAGAGAGGAGAAACGTATTTGCAGAAATAAGAACAAAGAACAAGAAAAACGTGAGCGTAAGCAAATCGAGATGTACAGGAGTCAGAATGAAGTCCGAAAATTCTACCAACGGGTAAAACACCAAACCGAAGGTTTTGGTGCAGGCACATTCTCCTGTAGAGATGAATAAGGAAACCTGGTGACAGATACAGACAGGGTGTTGAGGATCTGGAAGGAGCATTTTGAAAAGCTTCTGCTATCAAATAGTGGCGGTGAAGAAGATACTCCAGAACCAATAAGAGATGATGGTATAGAGTTTATACCACCTAGCCAAGATGAGGTCATAAAAGCAATTAATCGGCTCAAGAACAATTAAGCAGCAGGAGCCGACGGGTTACCAGCCGAACTATTCAAGACTGGTGGTGAGATGCTGGTAAGGAGCATGCACCAGCTTATTAGTACAATTTGGCTAGAAGAATGAATGCCCAATGATTGGAACCTCAGCATCCTGTGTCCCGTACACAACACATGTTACTCGCCTATGCCGATGACATCTATATAATGCGTCGAATATTGTGAGCGGTAACAGCCACCTTTGAACAAATTGAAAAGGAGTCTGCCAAAGTGAGTCTGGGAGTAAGCTGCGAGAAGACCAAGCTGATGGTATCAACGCGCCAGACGTCAAGTAGACTCGGACCAACTGTGAAACTTGAGAACTGCAGCTCTCAGACTCCTTTTCAATTTGTTCAAAGGTGGCTGTTACCGCTGTTTAACATCCTGCTGCAAAAGGTCATACGAGAGGCAAAAGTGAACAGAAATGGCACTCTGTACACCAAACAGCACATGTTACTCGCCTATGCCGATGACATCGATATAATGGGTCGAATATTGCGAGCGGTAACAGCCACCTTTGAACAAATTGAAAAAGGAGTCTGCCAAAGTGAGTCTGGGAGTAAACTGCGAGAAGACCAAGCTGATGGTATCAACGCGCAAGACGTCCAGTAGACTCGGACCAACTGTGAAACTTGAGAACTACAGCTTCGAAGTAGTTAAAGATTTTATATACCAGTAGTGTTGGCGGTTTATTTGGGATACCATTTGTATTTTGTTTTTGCAAAATAGTCAGGCTGAATCCCAGTTTGTTGTTTTTATAAAAAACAACTATTTATTAGTGGGGAATGTATGGCATTGTTTGCCGAGGGGTAAGGCAGGGAAGACTATAGTTTCGGATCACGCCACTGATCCTCATCAGTTCCCTTAGTTTTTTGTTAGGATATTCTCCCCAGAAGCTATTGCTTCTATACAAAAAACCTTTCATATCCAAATGTCTCTTGTAACAAAGCGAAGTACTTAGCTGACCAACGACATAAACTGCATGAGAATTTCGCTGGAGCCTCACTTCGAGGTTAACAAGGCATTTACAAACAATACCACACCTTTCCCACTGTTGTGTGTTGTCACATCGCGACAAATGCACACAACGACTTTGTTGATTTTATATACCTTGGTACCACCATAAATAAAACAAATGATATCAGTTTTGAAATTCGGAGAAGGATTGTGATGGCCAACATATACTGCTATGGTCTTAGTAAGCAGTTTAGAAACAAGGCCACCTCCCGCCATACCAAACTCACACTTTACAAGACGCTGATACTACCCGTGCTGTTATATGGATCTGAAACATGGGTACTTGCGCAAGCAGACGAGGCAGCTCTTGGGGTGTTTGAAAGAAAAATTCTCCGAAAGATCTACGGGCCGATCGGCGTCGATGGTGAATATCGGCGTCGAATGAACCACAATTTATAAGCGAACATCCACATAGTTAGTCGTATTGGATTTTTTTTAATATTTTTTAAGACTACTAAGCAAGGCGTGGATTTGTTAAGACATGGATTAAAAATAATATTTTGAGGCTACTATGCAAGGCGTGAATTTTTTAAGACATGAATTAAAAAAATATTTTGAGGCTACTATGCAAGGCGTGAATTTTTTAAGACATAGATTAAAAATAATATTTTTTATAATAATACCCAAAATAAAAAATTTTGTGTTGTTTTTTTATTTAAAAAATTATTTAACATTTGTTTCGAATCATCATTTGAGCATATTTCAAGGATCTATTCCACATACGAAATTCATGCCAACTTATTCCCCAATTATTGGATTCGCTCTCTTGGCGATATGGTCCATTTAAATAGCTACAAAAAAAAAAAATAGAAATCAAAATTTTAAAAATTTACGGAATCGATTTTTTTAAATTTACTCACCCATGATAACCTAAACCAAAGAACCACCAGCCACCCTCAAAAATTACGGCATTATTTCTATCCGGATTATTGTCATTATCTCTATCATAGGTGGTAAACGGGTGTCCTTTGTGTATTTCGAAACTATTGCCAGCATCACCGCTATAACCACCCACATCGAGCAGGGCATATTTCTCCTCCTCACTGCCAATACGAAAACGTTCATATTTGGCATAACGTGTTACGCCATTAAAATCTTTTAATATAATTAACAATTCTTGTGGTCGACCGAAATTGGTCAGTTCATAGATACGCTGAAGACCCATAAAGTAGTTGCCATCAGGATTACCAAAACCATTGTCATACTCATTCCACGAACGATTAAAATGTACCGAGTCATCCTGACGTCTCTGTATGGTTGTCCATTTTTGTGAGTTTTGACAGGATTTTTTCAAATCACCTTCCAGAGTATCTAATCTGGAAAATGTAAAAAAAATCAAATGAATAGCCAGTAGGATATCCTTCATTAGCAAACAACCTCTTATTCAACACCTCCAAATTTTTGTCCAACCTCTGGGTTTCATTCAAAATATTATTCACTTTTATGAAGAGAGATTCCCATATAATTGCTTTGTCCTGCGGATTAGTTATATCCTGAGGTAGAACAAAAACAATATGCAATTAATATGTATGTATATGAAGGGCTTACATATTTACACTTCACATACCAAATACGATTTTGTCGAATTAGTGTTATTGTATTCCGCATTTATAAAATGCAAAATTAAAATCAGACACAACAGTTTCATTATACTAATCCGCTCACGAATTCAAATTAGACTGGACGGGGCTGAATATTTCCAATTCGAATTTCCCTTATCAGTAATGGAATGCCAAAAGTTCAGGCACACTTCTTGTGGCTATGGGAGGGGATTTTTTTTTAAATATTAGGTGTGGATTTTTAAACATATTGTTTAGGGTTTTTATACACAGACGAGAAAAAAGAAAAACTTAGTTTAGCATAGACGGTGATCGGTTGCTTTTCTCATAAAAGTAAGATTTGTGCAATACAATTAAGTTTATATCTCTATAAAATACTTGTATGTTTGTAGTATTTCCCTGAAGATGAAATATTGGAAAATAAAAATAAACAAAATAGAAAAACCATAACCCACGAGTTTTTCAATTGACCTAAAGCCAAAACAAAAATCACAAGAGTTTTATACATACCCTAAAAGATACAAGTCATGTGGGTGGCGTAGGGGAGGATAGATATCAAGCAACGGCTCTGATTGGCTTTAACGTGGCGAAGTCCTGGCTTATCTTGGTCCCTCTTTCATCTCAATTGTGGACACTGACCTCCCCGCGGTGTCACCTGGGGTAGCAATTTTCATCACCCGTTGAAATAGAACTATAAAAAACTGGGTTAAGGCGTCGGGTTAATTGCCCACACTCGGACTATGAAAAAGCAAAGAAAAAGAAAGCCAACCCGCTCTTATGTTGACAAACGTATAGAGGACCACGATCTGCGAATTTGCATTTGGAATGTGCGCAACTTGTACAGAACAGGCGCAGTTTTCACTTTGGCGGATGTACTTAAGAAGTACAAAGCCGATATTATTACCTTACAGGAAATGCGATGGAAAGGTACGTGCGTAAGTAAATCAGATGATTACGCCCTGTATTATAGCTGCCATGAAATGAGACATGAATTTGGCTGCGGAATTATGGTTAACAGGAGAATAAAATACCCCGTCTCCAGATTCACTCCAGTAGATGAGCGAATTGCTATAATTCGTATAAAAGCGAAGTTCATCTACATCAGTCTTATTTGCGCCCATGCTCCGACCAAAGATAAAAATGAACAGACCAAAGACATATTTTACGAGCACCTAGAAACAGCATATGACCCCTGCCCTGACCTGACCATGACATTAAAATTCTGCTAGGAGATTTTAATGCAAAAATCGGAAGGGAAAATATATTTGGCCCCACAAATTCAGCCTTCATGAAGAAACATCCGACAACGTCATGAGGTTGATTGAATTCGCGGCAGCAAAAAAACATGGTAGTTAGCAGCACCAGATTCAAGCATCTCGATATACACAAGGCCACCTGGATTCTCCCGAGTGTATACCACCTAGCCAAGATGAGGTCATAAAATCAACTAATCGGCTCAAGAACAATAAAGTAGCAGAAGCCGAATATTCAATACTAGTGGTCAGACGCTGGTCAGGAGCATGAACCAGCTGATTAGTACAATTTGGCTAGAGAAATGCATGCCCAATGATTGGAGTCCCTTCATCCTGTGTCCCGTGCACAAAAAAGGAGACAAGACGACATGTGCCAACTATAAAGGAATAAGTTTCCTTCCCATCGCATATAAAGTGCTATCCAGGGTACTGTGTGAACGACTGAAGCCAATGGTCAATAACATTATTGAACCATACCAATGCGGCTTCAGACCTGGCAAATCCACCAATGACCAGATTTTCACTCTGCGCCAAATCCTGGAAAAGACCCAAAAAAAAACATCATCGACATATACCACCTATTCGTCGACTATAAAGCCGCATTCGACATCCCTATCCGTTCAGAGGTGTTTAAAGCCATGTCTACGTTCGGCATTCCTGAAAAATTAATACGGGTATGCAGGATAACTTTAACTGTCACAAGATCAGCATGTTAAAGTCGGAAAGGACTTATCGGTTTGTTGTGTGAACTTTTTAACATCCTGCTGGAAAAGGTCATACCAGAGGTAAAAGTGAACAGAAATGACACTCTGTACACCAAACAACACATGTTACTCGCCTATGCCGATGACATCTTTATAATGGGTCGAACATTGCCAGCGGTAACAGCCACCTTTCAACAAATCGAGAAGGAGTCTTCCAAAGTGGGTCTGGCAGTAAACGGCGAGAAGACCAACCTGATGGTATCAACGCGTCAGACGTCCAGTAGACTCGGACCTACTGTGGAACTTGAGAACTACAGCTTCGAGGTAGTTAAAAATTGTATATACCTTGGCACCACCATAAATGAAACGAATGACATCAGTTTTGAAATTCGGAGAAGGATTGTGATGGTCAACAGATGCTACTATGGTCTAAGTAAGCAGTTTAGAAACAAGCCAGACTACTTTTTACAGGACGCTAATTTTACAAGACGCCGCCAGACTACTTTTTACAAGACGCTGATACTACCCGTGCTGTTATATGGATCTAAAGCATGGGTACTTGCACAAACAGATGAGGTAGGTTTTGGGGTGTTTGAAAGACAGATACTCCGAAAGATCTACGGGTCGATCTGGGTCGACGGTGAATATCGGCGTCGAATGAACCACGAGCTTTACAAAATATACGCGGACATCGATATAATCAGTCGTATTGAGCTGTAGCGACTACGATGGCTAGGCCAATTTGTGCGAATGAATGATAATGCCCCATCTCAAAAGGCATATAAAAGCGAGCCTACTGATGGTTCCCGTAGAAGGGGAAGACCACGAATCAGATGGAAAGTCCAAGTAGAAAATAACATCTTGAAACGTGGTCTTTCAAATTGGCGGAGATGTGCACAAGATCGACGCGCTTGGAAACCTTTTTTAAGCTCGGCTTATAGAACAATCGTTCTGTAACAAACCAGCTAAGTAAGTAAGTAATACAAGGCGTGGATTTTTTACATATATTTCTTTAATACACCCTTATTATAGGTTCATTATTATTATCACCCTGTAATATCTCACGTCTTAGCATTACAAACCACAACAAATCTAAGTATATCCTAAGGGGTTTTTTTCAATTCCTCAGAAATTGATAAGAAAGAAATGCATCCGAACAAGTTTGCATCGACAAGATTAATCGAGTCAGTTCTAAAACCGCAATCGATCAGTAAGCTACTATGAGATTAATTTGGTTGCTGTTGTTAATTTTCCAAGCGGTTTATGCCGGAGACAAAAATGTGAATTCAACAAAGCAATATTTGGTGAGAGAGAGTATTGAAATTTATTATTATTATTTTTTTCTACAAAAATTGTTTTAATAGGACCTAAACAATTCGAAAGATAAAGCTTTCATATGGGAGAATCTGTTCATAAAATTAAATAGGGTCGTGGAGGCAACACAGAAATTTGAACAAAATTTTGAAAGCATCAACAAAAGGTATGACGACATTCGAATATAATGGTATTGAATTATTAATAATGGATGATTTTTGTTTAATGGAATTTCCAGATTCGATGAATTGTCTAAGAGGTGAGGGAAAAAAATATGAAAAAGGTGAGGAAAAATATTTAAAAAAATTCCTTGTTTTTGGTCTTCTAGACAAAATGAACAGGAGAGGAATCTTTCAATCAAGCCATTGGATATTGGGAATATAAATGGAGCCCCCAAAAGGTAAGTTCGCAGCTGTTATCCTGATTTGAACCTAGACTCAATTTTTTCTTTGTCTCCAGCCAATGGACAACGATTCTGCGACGTCAGGATGGTTCGGTAGATTTCAATCGTAATTGGAACCATTATAAAAATGGTTTTGGTAATCCTGATGCCGATTTCTTTATTGGCCTTGAAATGCTGCATCGTCTAACCAGTAAGGGTAGACCCCAAGAGCTACTGGTCGTTTTGGTAGACTATGAAAATGTAACACGTTTTGCCCGATATGACAAGTTTCGTATTGGTTCGGAAGCTGAAAAATATGCGATTACCGAACTGGGCACCTACAGTGGTGATGCTGGCGACGGTATGGGCGTGCATAGAGGCAAAAAGTTTACTACCTTCGATCAGGATAATAATGCTGGTAATATCAGGGATTGTCCGCAGACTTTTAAGGGTGGTTGGTGGTTCCATGATCCCTGTTATAGTGGGTAAGTATCTTGAGGCCAGAATAAATTATGAAATCCGTTTAATTTTTTTCTTTCAGTCATTTACATGGACCTTATAGGACAAAGGAAAATTCACGGACTTGGGGTGTTAGCTGGGATCCATGGAGAAAATGGAATGTTTCGTTGAAATATGCCGCCATGATGATACGGGATAAAATGTAAATAAATTTTCCGGGATGACTGGGTCCTGATGAAAAACCTTTGAAAAATTATTATCAAAATATTCAAAGCCTTCAAAATATTTAAAAAATCTTTCTTCTAGGCAAACAGAGCAGGAAAATCTTCCAACCAAGGCTGTGGACAACAAGAATGGCAAAGAAGTCCCAGAAAGGTGAGAAATAAATCGAAACTATTATCCTGATATATCCACATGTCTTAAAAAATTGTTTTCACTTCTCTGTAATTTTTTCCCCAGCCAATGGACAAAGATACTACGTCGTCAGGATGGTTCGGTAGATTTCAATCGTAATTGGATGGATTACAAACTTGGTTTCGGCAATCCTGATGCTGATTTCTTTATTGGTCTTGAAATGCTGCATCGTCTAACCAGCAACGGCAAACCCAAGGAGTTATTAATCGTTTTGGTGGACTATGAAAATGAAACTCGATTTGCCCGCTATGACAAATTTCGTATTGGTTCGGAAGCTGAAAAATATGCCATTACCGAATTGGGTGCATATAGTGGTGATGCCGGCGACGGTATGGGCTGGCATAGAGGCAAAAAGTTTACTACCTTCGATCAGGATAATAATGCGGGTAATATCAGGGATTGCCCACAGTATTTTAAAGGTGGTTGGTGGTTCCATGACCCCTGTTATAGTGGGTTAGTATTTAAGTGTCAATGTGAAGTATGCAATCAGATTAATATTTTTTGAACTTCTAGATATTTACATGGTCAATATAGGACAAAGGAAAATTCACGAATTTGGGGTGTTAGCTGGGATCCATGGAGAAAATGGGATGTATCCATGAAATATGCAGCAATGATGATACGAGATAAAATGTAAACTCGAAGTGTTGGAAATATTAAATAAAACTTATTTTCTAAACCTAAGCTAATCACAGAATTTCTTTATAATACCCCGAAAAAATTATTTTTTAAAAATCCACGCCTTGTATAGTAGCCTGAAAAAATATGTTTAAAAAATCCATGCCATCCATCCAGTTCTTATATAGAAGCATGAAAAAATAGTTTTACTTTACAAGAATTAAGAAAATACCCCTCCTATAGTCACGATAAGTGCGCCTGAACTTTGGACATGCCATTACTGATAAGGACAATTATGATTGGAAATATTCAGCCCCGTTCAGTTTAATTTGAATTCATGAGCGGATTAGTAGAATGAAATTGTTGTTTCTGATTTTAATTTTGCATTTTACAAATGCGGAAGACAGTAAAACTGATTCGACAAAATCGTATTTGGTATGTGAAGTGTAAATATGTAAGCCCTTCACATACATACATATTAATTGCATATTGTTTTTGTTCTACATCAGGATATAAATAATCCGGAGGACAAAGCAATTATATGGGAATCTCTCTTCATAAAAGTGAATAATATTTTGAATGAAACCCAGAGGTTGGACAAAAATTTGGAGGTGTTGAATAAGAGGTTGGTTGCTAATAAAGAATATTCTCCATTTTATTATGTTTTTCAAATTTTCCAGATTAGATACTCTGGAAGGTGATTTGAAAAAAATCCTGTCAAAACTCACAAAAATGGACAACCATACAGAGACGCCAGGATGGTTCGGTGAATTTTAATCGTTCGTGGAATGAGTATGACAATGGTTTTGGTAATCCCGATGGCAATTACTTTATGGGTCTTCAGCGTATCTATGAACTGACCAATTTCGGTGGACCACAAGAATTGTTAATTGTATTAAAAGATTTTGATGGCGTGACACGTTACGCCAAATATAAACGTTTTCGTATTGACAGTGAGGAGGAGAAATATGCCCTGCTGGATGTGGGTGGTTATAGCGGTGATGCTGGCAACAGTTTCGAAATACACAAAGGACACGCGTTTAGTACCTATGATAGGGATAATGATAATAGTCCGGATAGAAATAATGCCGTCATTTTTCAGGGTGGCTGGTGGTTCTTCGGTTTAGGTTATCATGGGTAAGTAAATTTAAGAAAAAAATTTCGATTCCGTAATGATTAAAATTTTGATTTCTATTTTTTTTTTTGTAGCTACTTAAATGGTCCATATCGCCAAGAGAGTGAATCAAATAATTGGGGAATAAGCTGGCATGATTTTCGTATATGGAATAGATCCTTGAAATATGCTCAAATGATGATTCGCAACAAATGTTAAATAAATTTTAAAATAAAAATACAATTCAACATTTCTATTTTGGTATTGTTATAGAAAAATATTTTTAAAAAATCCACGCCTTGTATGAAACCCAGGAAAAGTTCAACAGGTTAAGGGCCCAGATCTACGCCGAAGAAAGAGAAATTAATTAGTGCATGTCCAGAACTACGCAGAAGTAGAGAAAATTAAAAAGTGATTCCCAAGTAATAAAGTGAAAGTGCGTGGACAGCAGGAAGACATTTTTTGAAAAACTGTGTGTCAGTTTCATATGCATCGTGTGTGGATTAGGTTTGTTTGATATCCCAATAAGTTGTAACAATTTGTACAAATTGTTACTGAATGTTTGTAACTCATCGAAATATTCATTTCCGACCCTATAATATATATATATATATATATATTCTTGATCAGGGTAAAATTCTAAGACGATCTAGCAATGTCCGTCCGTCTGTTGTAATCACGCTATCTTCTGAAGGAATTGAGATAGGGTGCTGAAATTTATCATAGGTCAAGTTCGAAGATGGGCTTTATCGGTCCACGTTTGGGCATAGCTTCCATATAAGGGGACCCCCCAATTTTCAGTATTTTGGGGTTCTTGCGCGCGTTTTTCAACCGAATTCGCTGAAATTTGGTACATTAAGTTCCTATTGGGTACTAAATGCCTTATGAATATAGGTCTACTTTTTCTGGTAGCCCCCATGGGGGTTTTGATCGTATTTTTCCACCGAATAGACTGTAATTTAGTATTTTTAGTTTTTAATAGGTATCAAATCTTATGAATATAGGTCCATTTATTTGGATAGCCCCCATATAAAAGTACCCCCAATTTTCGGTATTTTGGGGTTCTTGAACGCGTTTTTTTACCGAATGCGGTGGAATTTGGTATTTTGTAGTCGTATATGTTAACAAATCTCTCTACCAAAAATTGTTAACATTCGCCCCCCTTTTTTTATACCCTCCACCATAGTACGGAGGGTATATTAATTTTGTTTTTCCGTTTGTAACTCATCGAAATAATCATTTCCGACCCAATAATGTATATATATTCTTGATCAGCGTAAAATTATAAGACGATCTAAGCTTGTCCGTCAGTTGTAATCACTCTAGCGTCTAAACAAGTTGAGATAGATCGCGAAAATTTTGCACAGAGTCCTCTTTTGTCTGCAGGCAGGTCAAGTTCGAAGATGGGATATATCGGTCCACATTTAGACATAGCTCCCATGTAAGGGTACCCCCAATTTTCACTATTTTGGCGTTCTTGAGCTCGTTTTTCAACCAAATTCGCTGAAATTTGGTATTTTGTAGTCGTATATGGTAACAAATTTCCCTAGAAAAAATTATTTATATGCACCCCCTTTTTGGGGTAGTCCCCATATAACCCCCTTTTTATACCCTTCAACACACTGTGATACAGGGTATTATGTCATTGTGCATATTTTTGTAACAGGCAAAAGGAAACGAGATAGACACATGGTTCCTTTTGAGAATATGCGTACAATCACTTCCTATATCGATTTATGCATGTCCGTCCGTCCGTCTATCCATGTTAAATTGTAAACAAAGTACCGGTCGGCATTTATGATCCGAATTGCATGAAATTTGGCATAGGTCACTTATTCGGCCCAAGGACGAACCCTATTGAAATTGGGAAAAATCGGTTCAGGTTTAGATATAGCTCCCATATATATATTTAACCTATTTAATGTAAACGGTCCCTATATATCTTTCGATTTGCACGAAATTTGGTACAGCCTAATCATTTAGGTCTAGAATGATGTCTGCCAAGTTTCGTGAAAATCGGTCCAGATTTAGATATACCTCCCATATATAGTTTCGTCCGATGTCACGTAAATGGTGCACCAAAGTCCCTATATATCTTTCGATTTGCACCAAATTTGGCATAACGTACTGAATTGAGCCTAGAATTATGTCTGCAAAGTTTTGAGAAAATCGGTTCAGATTTAGATATACCTCCCATATATATTTTCGTCCGATTTCATGTAAATGGTGCCCCAAAGTCAGTTTGAGAATGTATGTGTGAGAATTTCATGTATTACGAAAATCAAAATAGGTTTGATTTTGAAAAGGAACCCCCCTTTCAATCCGATGAATTTCGGTAATTTTTAGAGTTGTCAGAAACAAATTTTGGAATACAAATACATATAATTGTGACAAAATAATATAAAATCAATTTTAATTCGAAATTAAATTTTTGTTAAGGAAAAAAATGTGATTTTGATACACAGGGGTTTATCAGCAGTAGCAGTACGGCAGTATAGTGTGTGGGGCCATAATATAAAAAGAATATCAAATGTCGTCAATGTTCAACATTGAAAAATTGTCAGAGGACAACTATGAGCCGTGGAGTCTACAAATGAAGTCCGTCGTTATTCAGCAAGATCTATGGAATGGTGCAGTGCAACAGTAAATGTGCGAATTCACGCAAGTAGTGGATAGACTGGCTGAGTCAGGTTTCGACCTCAATGTAGAAATATTGGTCATTATGATCATCGCGAGTCTACCCAGCTCGTACGAAAATTTAGTGGTTGCGATGGAGTCGAGGGATAATTTACCCACATTGTCTGCTATTAAGGTAAAATTGGCCGAGGAAAACGAAAGGAGAAAATCGTGAATGGGCAACACAGCTAAATATTCCACAAAGGCATTTATGGAAAATGAAATGAAATCCCAACAACAGAATAAAATACAACGCACATCCAGAAAGCACCAACAACAACAATAGAAGAAGATACAATTACAACGCAAATCGAGCAAATCTCAACAACAATAGAAGAAATTACAACGTACATCAGCAAAATCGTAACAACAACACAGGTAGCAGGTATAAAGGATCCCGCACAGCAACAACCTCAATAAAAGTGTCTGGTGTTCAAATAGCGGTGCTTCCTCACACATGTGTTGTGACCGCAATTTGTATACGATGTTTGAGCAGCATCGAGAGGTTATCTCCGTAGCTGGTGAAAAAAACAATTGAAGCAAAGGGGAAGGGGAGAGTACGAATCAATGACGTGTTGTTTGGGCAAAACCTACAATGCAATCGAGTCAAATTTTTGTATTCTTGGGTTATTGGCAGTTTTAGGTCAGTGAAAAATAAAGTTTAAGACCTGGTTGCGATTAATTTCAAGCCTCCCACATGTAGCCCATGGCTCCTTGTGATGTGTATATTGTGGATTAAAATCTATTTTTTCTATGGAGTGGCTTCAAATCTTGCCTTCTTAAAGAAAATTGAAGGACATAAATCCCCGGCCAAAGACTAAATCATGGAAATTGTGTTGAACGTATAAAATCTTTCCATATGCGTAATTAACCTGCGCCGAGAATTGTGACAAACACCAATGGGCCGATTTCAATATAGGCCAACATAATACCCTCGATTTAATGAGTTGCTGGGATTTCTGGACAGATTTCCACACATAACATAAAATATGTGGACCAATGGGCGAACGGGGTTATCACTGAGCCTAGATTTCCTTTCCGTCCGCCTCTATGAATGTAGTTTTCTTGAATTTTTATTATTAAAAACACATAAATTGTTTTTTTTCGATCGTTCCCACGCCACTCATTCCCGCCCCTGCGGACCGAGGGGGCCACCTCCTCATAACGAGAGGAGCACGTACACCCCATAGTTCGGACTATGGAGGGATATGATGGTAGGAAAACTACCGGCTACAAACATTTTCAGCCGGTCATATATGTATTTACTACGAACAAGGACAAAACAACTACATACGAAGGATTGCATTTTTTATTGCATCTACAGAGTCGTAAAATGGTATACAATTATAAAACTTATTATAAACCTCACATATAGCACGAAAGGGATCATTTAATTCATAATTAGATTTAGCTAAAGAAAATTTAAGTGGAATGTAGTTACGCGTCTTACGTGGAGGTACATTTAATTTTATTTCTCCAACTAAAAAAATCGAAGCTATATTGCCTCTTAAAAGTTTAGTAATAAAAATTGCGCGGAGCATTAAACGTCTTCTCTCAAGAGTTGGGAGATCTATAAGTTTCTATTTTCATAAGGCGGGAGAGCTAAATCTGTATTCCATGGTAAAACTCTAAGAGCAAAGAAAGAAGAAATTGTTTTTGAACGGATTCTATATTGCCAGAATAACATTTGTAGAGAGGACTCCAAAGTACGCAACAGTATTCCAAGGTAGGTCGAACAAGAGTTACAAAGAGACGTTTGGTCACATAGGGATCATCGAACTCTTTAGACCAACGTTTTATAAAGCCTAACAATGGCTTCGCTTTATTAACACAAGCCTCAATATGTAAGTGGAAACGAAGTCTATTATCTAAAATAACACCAAGATCGACAAAGGAGTCTACATTTTCTAAAGTGTAATTACAGGACACATGTCGTGTTCTAAAGAAAGATAGTTTTTTGCATTTCTTGAGATTGAGAGACATGCCATTGAAGCTACACCAATTTGCAAGGGAGTGCAGATCATTTTGCAAATAAATATATTGGTTTGGAGAATTTAGATTTGCGAAAAGTTTAACATTAGCACTCTTGACGTTGTAATACCTGATGGGAGGTCATTTAAGTACAAAACAAATAATACAGGACCTACGTGACTGCCTTGTGGAACACCAGAAGTAACAGTTATGTTCTTGGAGAAAGTTTAATTAAATAATATTATTGGGTACGGTGTTGTAGGTAAGAAGATATCCATTTTAAGAATAATGATGGAAAACCCATGATGTCCAATTTATACAATAATAGGTGATTTGCTACAGTGTCAAACGCTTTACTAAAGTCAGTGTAAATGACATCTGTTTGAAGTTTATTCACAAACCCATTATGGACGTAACATGTTAGCTCTAATAGATTAGTTAATGTTGACCTCCCAGTTAAGAAACCATGTTGACATGGAGATATTAGAGGGGCAACAATATGCGATAACCTACGTGTTACAAGTAATTCAAATGACTTGGGTATAGCACTTAAGCAATTCCTCCATAATTTTCAATGTTTCTTCTACTACCAGATTTGTGAAGGGGAATTATAAAACTGGATCTCCAAAAATAAGGAAAATAACCAGAAGACAAAGACGCATTAAATATATTAGTAAGGGGAATATATAATTCATGAGCACAGGATTTAAGGAACACCATCCGGACCGGGTGATATAGAGTTATTTAACGATTTCAGTCCATTTAAGACTTCATCTTCCGTGAGAGTAATAAGGGGGAAGTTATTTAATTTGTTAATATTGTAGTTGTAGGATGAATTTGTAGAGTATGTTGAGTAGGAACTTAAACTCCTTGTACATTAGAACTTTTTGCCGGGGTTAACCTACTTTATGAGGATTTATTTGACATATATGGAAAGGAAATGACAATTGAAATCCACTGGGTTAACGAAATCCGGTTAAATGTAAACGTACTGTTATTAAAGACCATTTTTGAAATCGAAATGTAATATTGAAAATGATTTTGACAATTTGCTTTACAAACAATAAAGAAAACAGTTTGAAACCAAATGATTGCCACTTACACCTTATTTAAGACACCTTGATTAGAACATTCTTCGTGTTAAGTGTACCAAAGTAGATGTAAGTTGTAAATAAAAATCACTCCGTAAATAGCAACTACACGAAGTAGACGTATTTTATTTGTCAAACGAGAGCAGACAAGCAAGGAAGAAGTTCAACATATAGTAGCCTGAAAAAATATTCGGGTATGTTCTGGAACTCACGGTGTGTTCTTTACACTTCACCTAAGAGGTGACCTCCTGTTCTGCTACGTATCAGAAACGTTGTCCAAAAGATGGTGGAAAAATCAGAGTCCGGTTTCAAATCAGGGTAAAAGTACCAACCATGCACTTTAGAGACTCCAATTGGAAGATCCCTCTCCTGTTCATTTTGCCTAGAAGAACAAAAAATAGATGGAGGAAAAATTAGAGTCTAGATTCAAATCAGGGTAAAAGCTCCAAACTTGCGTTTTAGAGGCTCCATTTGTATTCCCAATATCCAATGGCTTGGTTGGAAGATCCCTCTTCTGTTCATTTTGCCTAGAAGACAAAAAAATAGATGGAGGAAAAATTAGAGTCTAGATTCAAATCAGGGAAAAAGCTCCAAACTTGCGTTTTAGAGCCTCCATGTGTATTCCCAATATCCAATGGCTTGGTTGGAAGATCTCTCTCCTGTTCATTTTGCCTAGAAGACAAAAAAATAGATGAAGGAAAAATTAGAGTCTAGATTCAAATCAGGGTAAAAGCTCCAAACTTGCGTTTTAGAGGCTCCATGTGTATTCCCAATATCCAATGGCTTGGTTGGAAGATCCCTCTCCTGTTCATTTTGTCTAGAAGAACAAAAAATAGATGGAGGAAAAATTAGAGTCTAGATTCAAATCAGGGTAAAAGCTCCAAACTTGCGTTTTAGAGGCTCCATGTGTATTCCCAATATCCAATGGCTTGGTTGGAAGATCCCTCTCCTGTTCATTTTGTCTAGAAGACAAAAACGAGGATGTTTTTAAAAATATTTTTCCTCATCTGCACATTTTTTCCTTACCTCTTAGACAATTCATCCAATCTGGAAATTCCATTAAACAAAAATTATTAATAATTCCTTACAATTATATTCGAATTTTGTTTCTGTTTTTTTTCAAGTTTCTGTGTTGCCTCCACGACCCTATTTAACTTAATGAACAGATTTTCCCATATCAAAGCACTATCTTCCGGACTGTTTTGGTCCTATTAAAACAATTTTTTTAGAAAAAAAATAATACTAAGAAATTTCAATCTCACCAAATATTGCTTTGTTGAAATCTCATTTTTGTCTCCGGCATAAACCGCTTGGAAGATTAATAACAGCAACCAAATGAATCTCATAGTAGTTCACTGATCAATTTCTGTTTTCGAACTGAATTGAATAATCTTGTCGATGCAAACTTGTTCGGAAGCATTTTTTTCTTATCAATTTCTGAGGAATTGAAAAGTATATATTAGATATGTTGTGGTTGTTAATGTATAGACGTGAGATATTACAGGGTGATAATAATAATGAACTTATAACAAGGGTGGATTAAGGAAATATTTGTAAAAAATCCACGCCTTGTATTACTTACTTAGCTGGCTTGTTACAGAATGGTTGTTCCATAAGCCGAGCTTAAAAAAGATTTCCAAGTGCGTCGGTCTTGTGCGCATCTCCTCCAATTTGAAAGACCACGTTCCAAGATGTTGTTTTCTACTTGGTCTTTCCATCTGATTCGTGGCCTTCCCCTTCTACGGGAACCATCAGTAGGCTCGCTTTTATATGCCTTTTGAGCTGGGGCATTATCATTCATTCGCACAAATTAGCCATCGTAATCGCTGCAGGTCAATACGACTGACTATGTCGATGTCCACATATAAATTGTAACGCTCGTGGTTTATACGACCCCGATATTCACCGTCGACGCAGATCGGCCCGTATATCTTTCGGAGAAGTTTTCTTTCAAACACCCCATGCTTCAGATCCACGGGTAGTATCAGCGTCTTGTAAAGTGTGAGTTTGGTCTGGTGGGAGTTGGTCTTGTTTCTAAACCGCTTACTTAGGCCATAGTAGCATCTGTTGGCCATCACAATCCTTCTCCGAATTTCATAACGGATGTCATTAGTTTTATTTATGGCTGTTCAAAATACAATTTTTAGGCTAAGAAGGCTAATTCCTCTATATTTGGCACATATCGTCTTGTCTCCTTTTTTGTGCACGGGACACAGGATGCTGATGTTTCAATCATTGGGCATTCATTCCTCTAGCCAAATTGTACTTATCAGCTGGTGCATGCTCCTTACCAATCCATCGGCACCTGCTGCTTTATTATTCTTCAGCCGATTGATGGCTATGATGGCTATTAAGACCTCATTTTGGCTAGGTGGAATACACTCTATACCATCATCTCTTATTGGTTCTGGGGTATTCTCTTCACCGCTATTATTTTATACCAGATGTTTTTCAAAATGTTCCTTCCAGATCCTCAGAACGCTGTCTGTATCTGTCACCAGGTTTCATTCTTTGTCTCTACAGGAGGATGTGCCTGCACCCAAACCTTCGGTTTGGTGTTTTACCCGTTGGTAGCATTTTCGGACTTCATTCTTTTTTCTGAAAATACGTTTCTCCTCTTTTCTTTTTTATAGATAGTTCTCCATCGCATTACGTGTTGCTACTGTCAGCAGGGTTGCCTAAAGTCTGCGTTTTTCACATCGGTAACATTACTGAACTGCTGATCGTACCGCGGATTTAATGATGGTTGTCTTTGCTACCCAAGTGTTGCTTTTGCTGTAGTTTGTAGGGAGTGGGCAATTATCTGCCACTGAGCTTCTATATTATTATTTCGTCAAGCAGTTGGGTAAGTTGAGCGGAGTATGCTTCTGCTATCTGTTGTGTTTGCAGTTTTTAGAGGTCAAGTTTCCGTGTTGTGTTAGATCGCACCTTTGCTGCAACATTAAGACGGGTGCGAACCTTGGCTGCTACAGTAATGGTCCGAATCGATATTCCAACATCTTATACACTGGATGAATGCTTTCCGTCTATCACAACATGAACAATTTGAATTCTCGTTGTTCAATCGGGAGAAATCCAAGTGGCCTTGTGTATATCGAGATGCTTGAATCTGGTGCTGCTAACTACCATGTTTTTTGCTGCCGCGAAGTCAATCAACCTCATGCTGTTGTCGAATGTTTCTTCATGAAGGCTGAATTTTCCAACGGTGGGGCCAAAGATATTTTCCCTTCAGATTTAAATTTTAATGTCATGACCAGTGCAGCGATCATATGCTGTTTCTAGGCGCTCATAAAATATGTATTTGGTCTTTCATCTTCATCTATATCTTCGGTCGGAGCATGGGCGCAAATAAGACTGATGTAAAAGATCTGCGCTTTTATGCGGATTATAGCAATTCGCTCATCTACTGGAGTGAATCTGGAGACGAGGTATTTTATTCTCCTGTTAACCATAAATCCGCAGCCAAATTCATGTCTCGTTTCATGGCAGCTATAATACAGTGCGTAATCGTCTTACTCTTTACTTACGCCCGTCCCTTTTCATCGCATTTCCTGTAAGGCAATAATATCGGATTTTTACTTCTTGAGTACATCCGCCAAAGCGAAAACTACGTGTTTGCGGGGGTCGTCAACATTAGGGGGGTTGGTTTTCTTTTACTTTGATTTTTAATAGTAGGAGGGGGTTTCCGAGTGGGGGCAACAACTTCTTATGGGTGAACTCGCGGCACATATCACATTTCAACGGGTGATGAAAGCAGCTACCCCAGGTGACACCGCGGGGAGGTCAGTGTCCACAATTGAGATAAAAGACGGACCAAGATAAGCCTGGACTTCGCCATGTTTAAGCCAATCAGAGCCGTTGCTTGGTATCTATCATCCCCTAAGTCACCCCACGCCTTTTTATTTTTTATACGCCTTGTATAAAACCCTAAAAAATATTATTAAAAAAATTACGCTTTATATAGTATCCTGACAAAATATTTTTAGTTGACAAAAAATAAAAAATCCCCCTCCTAAGCCACGATAAGTGTGTCTGAACTTTGGACATGCCATTGCTGATAAGGCCAATTATGATTGGAAATATTCAGCCCCGTACAGTTTAATTGTTGTTTCCGATGTTAATTTTGCATTTTACAAATGCGGAATACAATAACACTAATTCGACAAAATCGTATTTGGTATGTGAAGTGTAAATATGTAAGCCCTTCATATACATACATATTAATTGCATATTGTTATTTCTACCTCAGGATATAAATAATCCGGAGGACAAAGCAATTATATGGGAATCTCTTTTCATAAAAGTGAATAATATTTTAAATGAAACCCAGAGGTTTGACAAAAATTTGGAGGTGTTGAATAAAAGGTTGGTTGCTAATGAAGGATATCCTCATGGCCATTAATTTGATTTTTTTCCAAATTTTCCAAATTAGATACTCTGGAAGGTGATTTGAAAAAATCCTGTCAAAACTCACAAAAATGGACAACCATACAGAGACGCCAGGATGGCTCGGTACATTTCAATCGTTCGTGGAATGAGTATGATAATGGTTTTGGTAATCCCGATGGCAACTACTTTATGGGTCTTCAGCGTATCTATGAACTGACCAATTTCGGTGGACCACAAGAATTGTTTTATTGTATTAAAAGATTTTGAAGGCGTGACACGTTATGCCAAATATGAAAGTTTTCGTATTGGCAGTGAGGAGGAGAAATATGCCCTGCTGGATGTAGGTGGTTATAGTGGTGATGCTGGCAATAATTTCGAAATACACAAAGGACACGCGTTTAGCACCTATGATAGGGATAATGATAATAGTCCGGATAGAAATAATGCCGTCATTTTTTAGGGTGGCTGGTGGTTCTTCGGTTTAGGTTATCATGGGTAAGTAAATTAAAAAAAAATCGATTCCGTAAATTTTTAAAATTTTAATTTCTTTTTTTTTTGTAGCTACTTAAATGGTCCATATCGCCAAGAGAGCGAATCAAATAATTGGGGAATAAGTTGGCATGATTTTCGTATGTGGAATAGATCCTTGAAATATGCTCAAATGATGATTCGTACAAAATGTTAAATAAATTTTAAAATAAAACAAGTGAAAAAGCGTTAAGTTCGAGCGGGCCGAACTTTGGATACCCTCCACCATAGACAGGTACTTGAAATGAAAATATAGGGAACATACCAAAAAGTGGGCCTATACCGACATTTCTAAAAAAGGATTATGTAAACCATAATACAAATTTCAGAAATGTTTAATGGACAATTATACTCTCAGCCTTATGGCTAGTGAGGGTGTATACAAGTTAACACAGTGAAAATGTGACTCATCGAAATATTGGTTCTAGACCCCATGTTTCTTTGGACCAAATCCGTTTCAGAAAATTTTAGATTTCATCCAAACTTTGCCCATCTTATTATTTCTTCCAAACTTAGTTCAAATTCAAGGTTTAAGGTTTAAGGTTTAATTTATTGAGCCTTTTTTAAAAACGTTATAATTCAGAAGAGTTTTAATAAAAGAGAACCAAACTTAAGATTATAATGTGTTATCAAAATTTACAATATAGTGTGTACAGCACCATGCTTAAACGTGTGAGAAAAGAGAAAAAATAATTATATTACAATAATACTGTAGAATAATTCCTTGCTCCCGAGAATACCGTAATTTTGAGAGTTAAAATCTCAATTAGACTTAAAAACTAAATAAAAACAAAAAAACAACAGAAGAGAACAAAGAAAAAATAAATAATATAAAAAAAATAAAATAAAAACCAACCAGCATACACATCACCCTCTATGTGTACCGAATATCGCTTTTTCATAAAAAGAATATCGAATGTTTGTGTTTATGTCGAAACTAGGTGGTACTTCATTTATATATCCAATTGGAGATAAATAGTTGATATTTGACCAACTGTATGGTCTCTGGTTGTTATAAATACATGATATATAGCTATTTTCATGACCGTTTACGCGTTGAACAAATTTTGAAATCAAATCACAAACGTATAAACCAACAGGAGTAATTTTGGACTCGCCATATATTACCCTATTGGAAAAACGCTTGCAGCTTGATTCATAGTATTTCCCAATACAGTGTCTTAAAATTTTTCTTTCCAAAATTTCCATTTCGGTAATTAGAACAGGGGATATACTGAACCATATTGGGAACGCATAAAGAAATACGGGTCTAATCGAAGTTTTATATAAAAGTAATTTGGTGCTTGATGGCAGGTCTTTATTGGCCAAAATTTTTGAAAAAGACCCAAGAAGGCGATATGCTTTTCCTAAAACCTGTCTGGCGTGTTTATTAAATTTCATAAGGTTATTAAATGTGATACCTAAATATTTAAATGAGTTGCCTATAGGAATGTCAGTACCATTGAATGTTAACTTTAAATTTTTACTTTCAGGGACTACCCATTTTTTGCATTTCCCTGAAGCATTTCTAATACAAATAGCTTCAGTTTTAGATGCATTAATTTTTATACCCCATTTTGTATAGTACTGTGCAACTTTCTCCAAGTGATTTTTTACTTTACATAATGCCGTACTTGGGGATTCATCGTGTGCATATAGCAATGAATCGTCTGCATAAAGGATACCACAAGAATATCCATAATGATGTGGAAAATCGTACATGAATATACTATATAAATGGGGTGACAAAATGGAACCTTGAGGAACACCACATCCAATATCCACGAGCTCAGATACTAGTTGCTGAAACTGAACACAAAATTTCCTATTTGAGAAAAAACTATAAAACAATTTTATAACAAATGGGTCAAAATTAAGTTGTATCATTTTATATAAAATTCCTAAGAGGGATGCACGGTCAAATGCCTTTTCTACGTCAAGTGAAATAGCTACTGTACATTTTCGTTCTCGTAGATTACATATTATATCATTTTCAAATTTAAGTAAAGCATCGGTCGTAGAATGGCCACTTTTAAATCCGAATTGCAGAACTGGAATATATGACAAATTAAGACCATAGTCCATTTTAATGCGTATTATTCTTTCTAATAATTTCCCAAGGTTGGAAAGCATAGAGATGGGAAGTTCAAATTCAAAGAAGGGGAATATCGGTCTACTCCTTCTGGAACCTCCACACAGGGGCTAGGTCCCTTCGTCCGTCTGTAGATGTTAAATTGTAAACAAAGTACAGGTCGCATTTATGATTCGATTTGGATGAAATTTGGCACAAGTCACTTATTTGGCCCAAGGACGAACCCTATTGAAATTGGAAAAAATCGGTTCATATTTATATATAGCTCCCATAGATATTTTCGTCCGATTTAAGGTAAATGGGGCACCAAAGTCCTTCTATACCTTTCGATTTGCACGAAATTTGGCACAGAGTACTGAATTAGGTCCAGAGTGATGAGTGCCAAGTTTCGAGAAAATCGTTTCAGATTTAGATATAGCTCCCATATATAGTTTCGTCCAAAGTCCCTCAATATTTTTCGATTTGCACGAAATTTGGCACAGAGTACTGAATTAGGTCCAGAATGATGTGTGCCAAGATTCGAGAAAATCGTTTCAGATTTATATGTAGCTCCCATATATATTTTCGTCCGGTTTAAGGTAAATGGGGCACCAAAGTCCTTCTATATCTTTCGATTTGCACAAAATTTGGCACAGAGTACTGAATTAGGTCCAAAATGATGTGTGTAAAAGTTTCGAAAAAATCGGTTCAGATTTCGATATAGCTCCCATATATAGTTTCGTCCGATTTAAGGTAATTGGTGCACCAAAGTCCCTCTATATCTTTCGATTTGCACGAAATTTGGTACAGACTACTGAATTAGGTCCAGAATGATGTGTGCCAAGTTTCGAGAAAATCGTTTCAGATTTAGATATAGCTCCCATATATAGTTTCGTCCAAAGTCCCTCAATATTTTTCGATTTGCACGAAATTTGGCACAGAGTACTGAATTAGGTCCAGAATGATGTGTGCCAAGATTCGAGAAAATCGTTTCAGATTTATATGTAGCTCCCATATATATTTTCGTCCGCTTTAAAGTAAATGGGGCACCAAAGTCCTTCTATATCTTTCGATTTGCACAATATTTGGCACAGAGTACTGAATTAGATCCAGAATGATGTGTGCCAAGTTTCAAGAAAATCGGTTCAGATTTAGATGTATCTCCCATATATAGTTTCGTCCGATTTAAGGTAAATGGGGCACCAAAGTCCCTATATATCTTTCGATTTGCACGAAATTTGGCACAGACTACTGAATTAGGTCCAAAATGATGTGTGCCAAGTTTCGAAAAAATCGGTTCAGATTTAGATATAGCTCCCATATATAGCTTCGTCCAAAGTCCCTCTATATCTTTGGATTTCCACGAAATTTAGGACAAAGTACTGAATTAGGTCCAGAATGATATGTGCCTAGTTTCAAGAAAATCGGTTCAGATTTAGATATAGCTCCCATATAGCTTCGTCCGATTTAAGGTAAATGGGGCACCAAAGTCCCACAATATCTTTCGATTTGCACGAAATTTGGCACAGAGTACTGAATTAGGTCCAGAATGATGTGTGCCAAGTTTCGAGGAAATCGTTTTAGATTTAGATATAGCTCCCATATATAGTTTCGTCCGATTTAATGTAAATGGGGCACCAAAGTCCCTCTGTATCTTTTGATTTGCACGAAATTTGGCACAGACTACTGAATTAGGTCCAGAATGATGTGTGCCAAGTTTGGAGAAAATCGGATCAGATTTAGATATAGCTCCCATATATAGTTTCGTCCGATTTAAGGTAAATGGTGCACCAAAGTCCCTCTATATCTTTCGATTTGCACGAAATTTGGCACAGACTACTGAATTAGGTCCAGAATGATGTGTGCCAAGTTTCGAGAAAATCGTTTCCGATTTAGATATAGCTCCCATATATAGTTTCGTCCAAAGTCCCTAAATATTTTTCGATTTGCACGAAATTTGGCACAGAGTACTGAATTAGGTCCAGAATGATGTGTGCCAAGATTCGAGAAAATCGTTTCAGATTTATATGTAGCTCCCATATATATTTTCGTCCGGTTTAAGGTAAATGGGGCACCAAAGTCCTTCTATATCTTTCGATTTGCACAAAATTTGGCACAGAGTACTGAATTAGATCCCGAATGATGTGTGCCAAGTTTCAAGAAAATCGGTTCAGATTTAGATGTATCTCCCATATATAGTATCGTCCGATTTAAGTTAAAAGGGGCGCCAAAGTCCCTATATATCTTTCGATTTGCACGAAATTTGGCACAGACTACTGAATTAGGTCCAAAATGATGTGTGCCTAGTTTCAAGAAAATCGGTTCAGATTTAGATATAGCTCCCATATATAGCTTCGTCCGATTTAAGGTAAATGGGGCACCAAAGTCCCTCAATATCTTTCGATTTGCACGAAATTTGGCACAGAGTACTGAATTAGGTCCAGAATGATGTGTGCCAAGTTTCGAGGAAATCGTTTTAGATTTAGATATAGCTCCCATATATAGTTTCGTCCGATTTAATGTAAATGGGGCACCAAAGTCCCTCTGTATCTTTTGATTTGCACGAAATTTGGCACAGACTACTGAATTAGGTCCAGAATGATGTGTGCCAAGTTTGGAGAAAATCGGATCAGATTTAGATATAGCTCCCATATATAGTTTCGTCCGATTTAAGGTAAATGGTGCACCAAAGTCCCTCTATATCTTTGGATTTCCACGAAATTTAGGACAAAGTACTGAATTAGGTCCAGAATGATGTGTGCCAAGTTTCAAGAAAATCGGTTCAGATTTAGATGTATCTCCCATATATAGTATCGTCCGATTTAAGGTAAATGGGGCACCAAAGTCCCTATATATCTTTGGATTTCCACGAAATTTAGGACAAAGTACTTAATTAGGTCCAGAATGATGTGTGCCTAGTTTCAAGAAAATCGGTTCAGATTTAGATATAGCTCCCATATATAGCTTCGTCCGATTTAAGGTAAATGGGGCACCAAAGTCCCTCAATATCTTTCGATTTGCACGAAATTTGGCACAGAGTACTGAATTAGGTCCAGAATGATGTGTGCCAAGTTTCGAGGAAATCGTTTTAGATTTAGATATAGCTCCCATATAAAGTTTCGTCCGATTTAATGTAAATGGGGCACCAAAGTCCCTATATATCTTTCGATTTGCACGAAATTTGGCACAGACTACTGAATTAGGTCCAGAATGATGTGTGCCAAGTTTGGAGAAAATCGGATCAGATTTAGATATAGCTCCCATATATAGTTTCGTCCGATTTAAGGTAAATGGTGCATCAAAGTCCCTCTATATCTTTCGATTTGCACGAAATTTGGCACAGACTACTGAATTAGGTCCAGAATGATGTGTGCCAAGTTTCGAGAAAATCGTTTCAGATTTAGATATAGCTCCCATATATAGTTTCGTCCAAAGTCCCTCAATATTTTTCGATTTGCACGAAATTTGGCACAGAGTACTGAATTAGGTCCAGAATGATGTGTGCCAAGATTCGAGAAAATCGTTTCAGATTTATATGTAGCTCCCATATATATTTTCGTCCGGTTTAAGGTAAATGGGGCACCAAAGTCCTTCTAAATCTTTCGATTTGCACAAAATTTGGCACAGAGTACTGAATTAGATCCCGAATGATGTGTGCCAAGTTTCAAGAAAATCGGTTCAGATTTAGATGTATCTCCCATATATAGTATCGTCCGATTTAAGGTAAATGGGGCACCAAAGTCCCTCAATATTTTTCGATTTGCACGAAATTTGGCACAGAGTACTGAATTAGGTCCAGAATGATGTGTGCCAAGTTTCGAGGAAATCGTTTTAGATTTAGATATAGCTCCCATATATAGTTTCGTCCGATTTAATGTAAATGGGGCACCAAAGTCCCTATATATCTTTCGATTTGCACGAAATTTGGCACAGACTACTGAATTAGGTCCAGAATGATGTGTGCCAAGTTTGGAGAAAATCGGATCAGATTTAGATATAGCTCCCATATATAGTTTCGTCCGATTTAAGGTAAATGGTGCACCAAAGTCCCTCTATATCTTCCGATTTGCACGAAATTTGGCACAGACTACTGAATTAGGTCCAGAATGATGTATGCCAAGTTTCGAGAAAATCGTTTCAGATTTAGATATAGCTCCCATATATAGTTTCGTCCAAAGTCCCTCAATATTTTTCGATTTGCACAAAATTTGGCACAGAGTACTGAATTAGATGCAGAATGATGTGTGCCAAGTTTCAAGAAAATCGGTTCAGATTTAGATGTATCTCCCATATATAGTTTCGTCCGATTTAAGGTAAATGGGGCACCAAAGTCCCTATATATCTTTCGATGTGCACGAAATTTGGCACAGACTACTGAATTAGGTCCAAAATGATGTGTGCCAAGTTTCGTCCGATTTAATGTAAATGGGGCACCAAAGTCCCTATATATCTTTCGATTTGCACGAAATTTGGCACAGACTACTGAATTAGGTCCAGAATGATGTGTGCCAAGTTTGGAGAAAATCGGATCAGATTTAGATATAGCTCCCATATATAGTTTCGTCCGATTTAAGGTAAATGGTGCATCAAAGTCCCTCTATATCTTTCGATTTGCACGAAATTTGGCACAGACTACTGAATTAGGTCCAGAATGATGTGTGCCAAGTTTCGAGAAAATCGTTTCAGATTTAGATATAGCTCCCATATATAGTTTCGTCCAAAGTCCCTCAATATTTTTCGATTTGCACGAAATTTGGCACAGAGTACTGAATTAGGTCCAGAATGATGTGTGCCAAGATTCGAGAAAATCGTTTCAGATTTATATGTAGCTCCCATATATATTTTCGTCCGGTTTAAGGTAAATGGGGCACCAAAGTCCTTCTATATCTTTCGATTTGCACAAAATTTGGCACAGAGTACTGAATTAGATCCCGAATGATGTGTGCCAAGTTTCAAGAAAATCGGTTCAGATTTAGATGTATCTCCCATATAAAGTATCGTTTTAAGGTATTTATATATCACAAAATTTGGCACAGAGTACTGAATTAGATCCCGAATGATGTGTGCCAAGTGTCAAGAAAATCGGTTCAGATTTAGATATAGCTCCCATATATAGTTTCGTCCGATTTAAGGTAAATGGGGCACCAAAGTCCCTCAATATCTTTCGATTTGCACGAAATTTGGCACAGAGTACTGAATTAGGTCCAAAATGATGTGTGCCAAGTTTCGAGAAAATCGTTTTAGATTTAGATATAGCTCCCATATATAGTTTCCTCCGATTTAATGTAAATGGGGCACCAAAGTCCCTCTGTATCTTTTGATTTGCACGAAATTTGGCACAGACTACTGAATTAGGTCCAGAATGATGTGTGCCAAGTTTGGAGAAAATCGGATCAGATTTAGATATAGCTCCCATATATAGTTTCGTCCGATTTAAGGTAAATGGTGCACCAAAGTCCCTTTATATCTTCCGATTTGCACGAAATTTGGCACAGACTACTGAATTAGGTCCAGAATGATGTGTGCCAAGTTTCGAGAAAATCGTTTCAGATTTAGATATAGCTCCCATATATAGTTTCGTCCAAAGTCCCTCAATATTTTTCGATTTGCACAAAATTTGGCACAGAGTACTGAATTAGATCCAGAATGATGTGTGCCAAGTTTCAAGAAAATCGGTTCAGATTTAGATGTATCTCCCATATATAGTTTCGTCCGATTTAAGGTAAATGGGGCACCAAAGTCCCTATATATCTTTCGATTTGCACGAAATTTGGCACAGACTACTGAATTAGGTCCAAAATGATGTGTGCCAAGTTTCGAAAAAATCGGTTCAGATTTAGATATAGCTCCCATATATAGCTTCGTCCAAAGTCCCTCTATATCTTTGGATTTCCACGAAATTTAGCACAAAGTACGGAATTAGGTCCAGAATGATGTGTGCCAAGTTTCAAGAAAATCGGTTCAGATTTAGATATAGCTCCCATATATAGTTTCGTCCGATTTAAGGTAAATGGGGCACCAACGTCCCTCAATATTTTTCGATTTGCACGAAATTTGGCACAGAGTACTGAATTAGGTCCAGAATGATGTGTGCCAAGTTTCGAGAAAATCGTTTTAGATTTAGATATAGCTCCCATATATAGTTTCGTCCGATTTAATGTAAATGGGGCACCAAAGTCCCTCTGTATCTTTTGATTTGCACGAAATTTGGCACAGACTACTGAATTAGGTCCAGAATGATGTGTGCCAAGTTTGGAGAAAATCGGATCAGATTTAGATATAGCTCCCATATATAGTTTCGTCCGATTTAAGGTAAATGGTGCACCAAAGTCCCTCTATATCTTTCGATTTGCACGAAATTTGGCACAGACTACTGAATTAGGTCCAGAATGATGTGTGCCAAGTTTCGAAAAAATCGATTCAGATTTAGATATATCTCCCATATATAGCTTCGTCCAAAGTCCCTCTATATCTTTCGATTTCCACGAAATTTAGCACAAAGTACTGAATTAGGTCCAGAATGATGTGTGCCAAGTTTCGAGAAAATCGGATCAGATTTAGATATAGCTCTCCTTATATGGTTTCGCCCGATTTTAGGTAAATGGTGCACCAAAGTCCCTATATATCTTTCGATTTGCAAGAAATTAGGCACAGCGTAATAAGTTAGGCCTAGAATGATGTGTATTAAGTTTCCTGAAAATTGGTTTAGATTTAGATATAGTTTCGTCCGATTTAGTATAAATGGTGCACCAAAGTCCCTCCAAATCTTTCGATTTGCATGAAATTTGGCACAGAGTACTGGATAAGGTCCAGAATGATGTGCGCCAAGTTTCGAGAAAATCGTATAAGATTTAGATATAGCTCTCCTTATATGGTTTCGCCCGATTTTAGTTAAATGGTGCAGCAAAGCCCCTATATATCTTCCGATTTGCAAGAAATTAGGCACAGCGTAATGAGTTAGGCCTAGAATGATGTGTATTAAGTTTCCTGAAAATCGGTTGAGATTTAGATATACCTCCTATATATAGTTTCGACCGATTTAGTGTAAATGGTGCACCAAAGTCCCTCCAAGTCTTTCGAATTTCACGAATTTTTGTATAACGTACTGATTTAAGTCTAGAGTGATGTCTGTTAAGTTTCGTGAAAATCGGTTCAGATTTAGATATAGCTCTCATATATATTTTCGTCCGATGTAAGGTAAATATTGTACCAAAGTCCCATAATATCTATCGGTTTGCACGAAATGTTTGCCTTACAGGAAATTCGATGTAAAGGGACTGGCGTATGTAAATCAGATGATGACGCCCTGTATTATAGCTGCCATGAAACGAGACATGATTTTGGCTGCGGATTTATGGTTAACAGGAGAATAAAAGACCTCGTCTCCAGATTCACTCGAGTAGATGAGCGAATTGCTATAACCCGTATTAAAAGCAAAGTTCTTCTACATCAGTCTCATTTGCGCCCATGCTCCGACCGAAGATAAAGATGAACAGACCAAAGACATATTTTACGAGAGCCTAGAAACAGCAGTTCCTCAGAAATTGATAAGAAAGAAATGCTTCCGAACAAGTTTGCATCGTCAAGATTAGTCGATTCAGTTCTAAAATCGCAATTGATCAGTACGCTACTATGAGATTCATTTGGTTGCTGTTGTTAATTTTGCAAGCGGTTTATGCCGGAGACAAAAATGAGATTTCAACAAAGCAATATTTGGTGAGAGAGAGAGGGAGTATTGAATTTTTTACTATTTTTTTTTTTTTTTGTAAAAAATTGTTTTAATAGGACTTAAACAATCCGGAAGATAGTGCTTTGATATGGGAGAGTCTTTTCATAAAATTAAATAGGGTCGTGGAGGCAACACAGACATTTGAACAAAATTTTGAAAGCATCAACAAAAGGTATGACGACATTCGAATATAATGATATGGAAATATTAAAAATAACAAAAAAAAATGAATGGAATTTCAGGTTGGATGAATTGTCTAAGAGGTGAGGAAAAAAATATAAAAAAGGTAAGGAAAAATATTTAAAAAAAATGTCCTCGTTTTTGGTCTTCTAGGCTAAATGAACAGAAGAGGGATCTTCCAACCAAGCCATTGGATATTGGGAATATAAATGGAGCCCCAAAAAAGTAAGTTCGCAGCTGTTATCTTGATTTGAACAAATACTCTATTTTTTCTCAATTTTTTTTTTTGGTCTCCAGCCAATGGACAACGATTCTGCGACGTCAGGATGGTTCGGTAGATTTCAATCGTAATTGGAACGATTATAAAAATGGTTTCGGCAATCCGGATGCCGATTTCTTTATTGGCCTTGAAATGCTGCATCGTCTAACAAGTAACGGCAGACCCCAAGAGCTACTGGTCGTTTTGGTGGATTATGAAAATGTAACACGTTTTGCCCGATATGACAGGTTTCGTATTGGTTCGGAGGCTGAAAAATATGCCATTACTGATTTGGGTAGTTATAGTGGTGATGCTGGTGACGGTATGGGCTGGCATAGAGGCAAAAAGTTTACTACCTTCGATCAGGATAATAATGCTGGTAAAATCAGGGATTGTCCACAAAATTTTAAGGGGGGTTGGTGGTTCCATGACCCCTGTTATAGTGGGTAAGTATTTTGAGGTCGGAATAAATTAAGAAATCCGATTAAGATTTGTTCTTTTAGACATTTACATGGTCCATATAGGACAAAGGAAAATTCACAGACTTGGGGTGTTAGCTGGGATCCATGGAGAAAATGGAATGTTTCGTTGAAATACGCAGCTATGATGATACGGGATAAAATGTAAATAATTTTTCCGGGATATAACTATGACTGGGTCCTGATAATAAATCTTTTAAAAATTATTATCAAAATTTTCAAATATTTTTAAAAAAAAATTCTTATAGGCAAACAGAGCAGGAAAATCATCCAACCAAGGCTGTGGACAACAAGAATGGCAAAGAAGTTCCAGAAAGGTGAGAAATAAATCGAAACTATTACCCTGATCTTCACATGTCTTTAAAAATGGTGTTCCCTTCTCGTTAATTTTTTTCTTCAGCCAATGGACAAAGATACTACGACGTCAGGATGGTTCGGTAGATTTCAATCGTAATTGGATGGATTACAAACTTGGCTTCGGCAATCCTGATGCTGATTTCTTTATTGGCCTTGAAATGCTGCATCGTTTAACCAGTAACGGCAAACCCAAGGAATTATTAATCGTTTTGGTGGACTATGAAAATGAAACTCGATTTGCCCGCTATGACAGATTTCGTATTGGTTCGGAAGCTGAAAAATATGCCATTACCGCATTGGGCACATACAGTGGTGATGCTGGTGATGGTATGAGCTGGCATAGAGGCAAAAAGTTTACTACATTTGATCAGGATAATAATGCCGGTAGTATACGGGATTGTCCACAAAATTTTAAGGGTGGTTGGTGGTTCCATGACCCTTGCTATAGTGGGTAGGTATTCATTCATTTCGAAGTATGCAATCAAATTAAGATTTCTTTTACTTCTAGACATTTACATGGTCCATATAGAACCAAGGAAAATTCTAGAACCTGGGGTGTTAGCTGGGATCCTTGGAGAAAGTGGAATGTATCCATGAAATATGCAGCAATGATGATACGAGATAAAATGTAAACTCAAAATGATGTAAATATTAAATAAAACTTATTTTCTGGACTTAAAAAATTAAAGTTTTTTGTAGTACCCGGAAAACATATTTTGACGCCTTGTATGAAACCCTAAAAAAATATTTTTAAAAATCCACAATCCAGCCTGAAAATTTATTTTTAACCAGTAAGGAAAGTAGTAAAGTTGGACTGGGCCGACTTCACCACTTTGGGTATACATATTGTACATATGTATCCCTACAATTGCTTGTCAATGTTCCATCGGTGGAACATACTCATGACTTTCGGCAACTATTTTCATTTCGGCAATTTAATTTCATTCGGGCAGATTCAGAGTCGTCTGCGTACCATGGGACAAATTTATGAAAACGATTTAAAGCAAAATTGTTACACGCTGTTCGGTACGCCGCATTGTTAAAAATGTGATTTCAATCAGAAACCCGTTCAAAATACATATGGAAGATATGGCTGCATTTGCACCAATTTCAACAAAACGCATTTAAATAAAATGTCCAAATGTCTATGTGGGGGCTATATCAAAATCTGAATCAATTTTTGCGAAACTTATCACACACCATTCTAGACTCAATTCAGTACCCTATGCCAAATTTCGTGTAAATCGATGGATATATAGGGGCTTTGGAAGACCATTTACCTTAAATCGGACAAAAATATATATGGGAGCTATATCTAAATCTGCACCGATTTTCAAGAAATTTTATACACATCATTCTAAACTCAATTCAGTACGCTATGCCAAATTTCGTGCAAATCGGAAGGGATATATAGGGACTTTGGTGCACTATTTACCTTAAATCGGACGAAAATATATATGGTAGCTATATCCAAATCTAAACCGATTTTCAAGAAACTTAACACACATCATTCTGGACCTAATTCATTACGCTGTGCCAAATTTCGTGCAATTCGAAAGATATAGAGGGACTTTGGTGCACCATTTACATTAAATCGGACAAAAATATATATAGGAGCTATATCTAAATCTAATCCGATTTTCAGGAAACTTAACACACATCATTCTAGACCTAATTCATTACTCTGTGCCAAATTTCGTGCAAATCGAAAGATATATAGGGACATTGGTACACCATTTACCTTAAATCGGACGAAAATATATATGGGAGCTATATCTAAAGCTGAACCGATTTTCACGAAACTTAACACACATCATTCCGGACCTAATTCATTACGCTATGCCAAATTTCGTGCAAATCGAAGGATATTAAAGGACTTTGGTGCACCATTTACATTAAATCGGACGAAAGTATATATGGGAGCTATATCTAAATCTGAACCGATTTTCACCAATTTCGATAGGGTTCGTCCTTGGGCCAAATAAGTGACCTATGCCAAATTTCATCCAATTCGGATCATAAATGCGACATGTTCTTTGTTTACAATTTAACATCAACAGACGGACGGACGGACATGCATAAATCGACATAGAAAGTGATTCTATGCATATTGTCAAAAGGAACCATGTGTCTATCTCGTTTCCTATTGCCTGTTATAAATATATGCACAAATACATAATACCCTGTACCACAGTGTGGTGAAGGGGGTTATATGGGGCGAATATTAATAATTTTTGGTAGGGATATCTGTTACCATATACGACTACAAAATAGCTATGCGCAAACAAAAGACTCTACCCACTCTAGCGTCTAAACGATCTATCTTAATTCGTTTAGACGCTAGAATGATTACAACAGACAGCCGGACATGCTTAAATCGTCATAGAATTTTACGCTGATCAAGAATATGCATATATGGGCAATATTGTCAATTTTTTAATATTCCATTTTCAAAAAATCGGCTTTTTTGTTTTCATAGTACATCAATGATTTTTGGTACACATATAGAGAAAAATGTTCTGACTCCGAATCCGTTCGCAATCAAATTTTTGGTTCATTATAGTTCGGATTATAGTAAGACCCTTCCGATAAATCTTGGGGTCCTATGGATTTTCACGAAGAAGATTTTATGTCATCCGAAACGTAAAAAACCTTGCTGATCGCGCGTACCCATATCATTCAATTAACAGATCTAAAAAGTTGGCCCGAAATATAGGATGAGTATTACTCTAAAGCTGTGCATACTACAAAAAACACAATATATATATCAAATAACTCAGATTAGCGGCTACAATAATAATATAATCGATTTTCAGAAGTTCGTGATTGCGCATTGAAAATCGAGCTTCAAAATGTCAGCCTCATTTAAAGATAGATGCAGATAAAATTTTGAAAAATGATGCATAAGAGACTTAGTCCTCATTTTGTAGGCTTCTAGTTTTACTTTGACACGAAGACCGTGAAATGAGTGGCTTAGTCACAAATCGATAGAGAACATTAAAAAACTGGTTCGCCTCAACCTGTTTTTACACATTTTTTCACATTTAAGTAGACACAGCTTCCACGCATATAAACTTAAGAGGTCAATATCACGAAAAGTTTGCAACGACAGATCAATAAACCCAAAATTATTCACTTTTTATACCCTTCACCACACTGTGGTACAGGGTATTATGTCTTTGTGCATATGTTTGTAACAGGCAAAAGGAAACGAGATAGACACATGGTTCCTTTTGAGAATATGCATAGAATCACTTTCTGAGTCGATTTATGCATGTCCGTCCGTCCGTCCGTCCGTCCGTCTGTCCGTCTGTCCGTCTGTCCATGTTAAATTGTAAACAAAGTACAGGTCGCATTTATGATCCGAATTGGATGAAATTTGGCATAGGTCACTTATTCGGCCCAAGGACGAACCCTATTGAAATTGGGAAAAATCGGTTCAGATTTAGATATAGCTCCCATATATATATTTAACCGATTTAATGTAAACGGTCCCTATATATCTTTCGATTTGCACGAAATTTGGTACAGCCTAATCATTTAGGTCTAGAATGATGTCTGCCAAGTTTCGTGAAAATCGGTCCAGATTTAGATATAGCTCCCATATATAGTTTAGTCCGATTTCATGTAAATGGTGCCCCAAAGTCCCTATATATCTTTTGATTTGCACGAAATTTGGTATAACGTGCTGAATTAAGCCTAGAGTGATGTATGCCAAGTTTGGAGAAAATCGGTCCAGATTTAGATATAGCTCCCATATATAGTTTCGTCCGAATTCATGTAAATGGTGCCCCAAAGTCCCTATATATATTTCGATTTGCACGAAATTTGGTACAGCCTAATCATTTAGGTCTAGAATGATGTCTGCCAAGTTTCGTGAAAATCGGTCCAGATTTAGATATAGCTCCCATATATAGTTTCGTCCGATTTCATGTAAATGGTGCCCCAAAGTCCCTATATATCTTTTGATTTGCACGAAACTTGGTATAACGTGCTGAATTAAGCCTTGAGTGATGTATGCCAAGTTTGGAGAAAATCGGTCCAGATTTAGATATAGCTCCCATATATAGTTTCGTCCGATTTCATGTAAATGGTGCCCCAAAGTCCCTATATATCTTTCGATTTGCACGAAATTTGGTACAGCCTAATCATTTAGGTCTAGAATGATGTCTGCCAAGTTTCGTGAAAATCGGTCCAGATTTAGATATAGCTCCCATATATAGTTTCGTCCGATTTCATGTAAATAGTGCCCAAAGTCCCTATATATCTTCTGATTTGCACGAAATTTGGCATAACGTACTGAATTAAGCCTAGAGGGATGTCTGCCAAGTTTGGAGAAAATCGGTCCAGATTTAGATATAGCTCCCATATATAGTTTCGTCCGATTTGATGTAAATGGTCCACCAAAGTCGCTAAATATCTTCCGATTTGCACGAATTTTGGCATAACGTACTGAATTGAGTCTAGAATGATGTCTGCCAAGTTTCGTGAAAATAGGTCCTGATTTAGATATAGCTCCCATATATAGTTTCGTCCGATTTCATGTAAATGGTGCACCAAAGTCCCTATATATCCTTCGATTTGCACGAAATTTGGCATAACGTACTTAATTGAGCTTAGAATGATGTCTGCCAAGTTTCGTGAAAATCGGCCCAGATTTAGATATAGCTCCCTTTTATTATAGATTGATTTTAAGTAATTGACGTACTAAGGAACCAATTGGAATAAAACGTTCTGAAAGTTGTATAACCTAACCTGTGACAAGTTTGTTTGAAATCGCTCAATATTTGGATAGAGCTTCCATATATATTTTCGCCCGATTTCTAGTAAATTGGGCATCAAACTCCTCATGTTAGTCAGATTGACATCAAATTTTGCACAACTTAAAAAATTGAGCATAGAATTACGTAGTTGCGTTTTCTAGAAGTGCAGACATAGCCCAACGGATGACCTATTTATATTTGTTTGAAGTCGATTGACATACTTTATGGATAGATCTAGGTAGATTCACTGATAAATATCACATTTTTTTCATCCAATTTTATGTTATAGTCCTGCTTAATATACCCATAGTGGTGAAGGGTATCATATAGTCGGCCCCGTCCGACTTTACTACTTTCCTTACTGGTTTTACTTGTTTCATATTCTTCAGTAATTTCCGTGTTATAAAGGGGTGAACCTCGGCTTCAGCTATGTTAAAAAATTGACAATATTGCCCATATACTGTATAGGGTAGGAAATGATTATTTCGATGCGTTACAAACGGAAAAACAAAACTAATATACCCTCCATACTATGGTGGATATATATGGGGGATATATCTATGTACAAAA